CATGACATTTCTTAAGTGCTGAAAGAATTGTAAACGCAGAATTCCATACCCTGAAAAAATATCCTTCAGGAATGAAGATGAAATAAAGACATTCTCAACAGAAGGAAAACTAAAGAGAATTTGCAACCATTGGAATTAATCTGAAAGAATTGCTGAAAGAAACTTCAGACAGAAGAGATATTATACTGGAAGGAAACTTGGAACATCAGGACTGAAAAAAAAGTAACAAAAATGGTACGTCTTTGGGTAAATGTAATAGACTACTCTTACTGAGTGATTCAAAACATGCTTAGTGGTTGAATGCAAAAAGTATAAAATTATCTGATGGGGATTTCAATGTAACTATATGTAATATGGGTTTCCCAGGTGGCTCAGTGGTAACGAATCCACCTACCAGTGGTGGAAATGCAGGTTTGATCCTGCATGGAAAGATACTCTGGAGAAGGGAATGGCAACCCACTCCAGTGTTTTTGCCTGAAAAATTCTGTAGACACAGGAGCCTGGAGCACTACAGTCCATGGGTCACAAAGAGTCAGACACAACTGAGCATACATGCATGCTCGGTCTCTCTCAAAAGTTGTGGTCCCTGAGGTCAGAGATCGTAGCATCTTACTCTGTTTTCTAGCTCCAGATTTCCTTTATGTGTGTCCAAGCTAGTGCTGTTTACCATATTTGAAGTTAAAAAACTTTGTTCACTCATTAATAAAGCAATAAACCTATCACATGTTGACAAAAATAACATTTTATAAAACTTAGGTTTTCCAAAATACAAACCAACCAACCAGGAAAATGGCGTTGCTTTAGATTTTGTAACTCTTTCATCTGACTTAATAGAAGATATCCAGATTCTCCTATCTAGTGCTATATTCAGTCTGTTGCAATGTGATGTTTTGCATTAAAGTACATGAAGAAAATTCACTCATACACAAATGCATAGTCGGAAAGGCAGTATTTTCAGTCTTCTATGAAGCTGTATATATCTTTAATACCACACCAAAATTTGACAAGTGGTAGTTTCTCAAAGGTTAGTTGCAGTGTGGAAGTCTGCAGCCTTACCAATGCACCTTTTGTGTTGTTACAGCTTGTAATGTGAATGGATTGTTTACGCATGCACAATATCATAGATGGGTCGTTTGGAAAATGTTGGGTCTGTTGGACCCACCAATTGTTGACACATTTTAACTATTCATTCTTGACTCAACAATGAATTAATTCATTAATATAACTTTGATTTCATCAGAAGGGTCTGTAGGTACTGGGAAGCTGTCAGGCTCATTGTGGTAGATTACAATTTTCCCTTGAAAGCACAAATTTTATGATTGGCAGCAGTTGTTCAAGTACAAATGGCGTTCTGCCGGGAGCCGGCACACGAGATCCCACCCATGACAAGGTCATGAGGAGAAAACCTGACAGGCAAGGCGGTTCAGGTTTTCAGGGATTCCGAAAAGCTGCTCCCGGCACTCACCTTAAAGATGATATCTGTCTTTCTGATGCTTGCTTCAATAGACTACTCCCTAATTTCTGTGACACAGGCAGAAGGCCTTCCCCGATCTCTTTCCAAATAAGAATCAATTTAGAACTTTAATCAATAAGTTTTTTGGGTGGTGCTATTTTGTGAGATTACCCAGGATGAAAGGAGTGTTTCAATTTAAACTCTTTTGCTGGCATTCTAGTTTGATTAGCAAATGCGTGTATGCCCTTGGTACTAATATGCATAACTGCTTATAATACCCTAATCATAAAACAGCATAAAGAACCTGATCATATAAAGGCCCTAATAGACATAGAGCCCTTCGGGGGGTGAGGAAGCCCTATTAGAAAACACAAGAAAAATTATTCTAAAAGTGGTTATCGGGTTAACATTTGCTTGCTGTGTTTTCGCTCTTAATGTGCTAAGGTTGTGTTATGGAAAACACTGTTAATATAGTTAAAGATCTAGAAAAATAAGAGTTTAGCCCTAGTGTAGTAATAATGAGATGGTTGTTAATTGTTGGCCAGGAGTGCTAGGCAGAGGCTGCCTCACTGAAGCCACAGAGTCTGTGTGGGGTAAACCTCTTAGATAAATTCAACTGACAACTTCTGCAGAAGAACTGACTTTTATGTTAACAAGGTTATGCTTCTACTATGTTGTGACATGCTGTACTGTTGCCCTATGAGACTGTGACTTTTCTGTTAAGATCAGCACAGAAACAGAAAATAGGTTTACATTCACCTGACTTGCATAAAATGTTAATAGGCCCCAAGTCCAGAAGATAATGTACAAGACCCTCATAAACAAAGAAGTATGCAGAAAACACCCTGGTTTCGTGAAGGACAAGCTGATGTAATGTTAAACTATCTTCCCCTTAGAAATGTACTAACTTAGGGTATAAAAGCTATGGTAAAAAAATAAAGCATTGCCAGACTCTGCTGAACCCCCTGTCTGGTCTCTCTCTCTCTCTGGTCTCTCTCTCTCTCTCTCCCCCTCGCAGACTTGGCCTTATCAAGGCTGGTCTCACTGTGTCTTCTCTCTCTCGCCCACGATGTTCATCCTGAAGGTACCCCCTGGATCCTGTCGAGGCTGGACCCCGGCAGTGTTCCAAGAAGAGTGGCCTGTTTGGGGCCACAACAAACACTTTTCTTCAAGACAACCAAAAAATATGCCTTAGGCATGCCTCCATTCAGTCTCAGAAAATACTGAGAGGACAATAAGTATTGTGAATAAAATATGTAATTACTGATGCATCAAGTACATTGTTCAATGAGTGCGGGCAGTGAAGAACACAATGACGACTCAGTGCCACTGCTGTAATGTAAGTTAAGGCGCCAGCAGCCCAGATGGCAACACAGTGCAAGTATTATTGAAACGTGAATTCTGAACTCGCAGCCCCTCTATCACATTGTTAGTCCAGTGAAAAACGTGCACCCCCAGGTCTCCATATCCAGCTGCCTGTGAGGAGATGGCTCTCGTGAGGATTATCAAAATAAGCCATTGTACATTTAAACCATGGAACCTCCTCACTTGACTCTATTCACTAAGCAACCTTTCAATAAATGAATCGCCATCTCAGTTAAACATCAGGCAGAAAATGCCAGGTGGCCAGGCTGATGGAACTGCTCGGTCTGCCTGTTACGTTTCTCAAAGTGAGTGAACTGCCATTATGCTTTTTATTAAAGTCTATGAGGCTGTTGAGTCAGCAACCCTGAATCCAATCCATCTGGGGACACTGATGAGGTAGTTTCTGAGAACTTTTCTATACAATTTTTGTTACATATGACACCTGTGACCAGCATTCTTGCCTGGGAAATCCCATGGACAGAGAAGGCTGGCTGGCTACAGTCCATGGGGTTGCAAAGAGCCGGACACGACTTCATGGTTGAAGAACGACACCACCTCTGAAACTGTCTATATAGGGATGATGCTTTATGAAAATTTCAAATATATAATCAGGGACTTTTGGAATCTAAAAACAAAAACTGACAGTAATACCCACAGAGTATTATTTCCTCCAGCAATTATTAAAATACTATTATTGGGATTTCCCTGGCAGTCCAGTGGTTAGGACTTGGTACTTTCACCTCTGTGGCCAGGTGTAATCCTTGCCTGGGGAACTAATATCACACAAACTGACCCTTAGTCAGAAAAAAAAAAAGTTCATTAAAAAAAATATATTGTTATCTTCTGAATTCTTTTTTTCTTCTGAGTTCTTAAGATGACCGTCCTTTTTGGTTTGTTCTTTGGGCCGAGCCTTGCGGCTTGTAGGCTCGTAGCTCCCTAACCAGGGGCTGAACTCAGGCCCTGCCGAGTGAAGGCGCCAAGCCCTAACCACTGGGCCACCAAGGGGCCCCCTGTTCCACACTATGCAGCTTCTTCAGTTTTGGCTTGGTGCTTTCAACAGCGATCAAACATTCTTTATTGGTGAGGGGAGATTTAATTACGCACAGCTACAGAGAGCTAGCTTGTTCAGCTTGCAGCTCCTTTCTAGTGTCCTGAACTGGAGGCTGGAGAGCCGTCACTGCGTTCCCCAGACTCCTTTGCACTTACGGGTGCTGGACGCCCTTTAGGTTCTTTCCAAACAGAGGCACTAAAGGGGGCCTTTCCTCTGGAGCTGCCTCTGTGGGAAGGGAGGCAGGTGAGCTGATGTGGAATGTGGCAGAGGCGGACATGGAGCTGGCACCCTCACCCAGCAGTTCCGGGTCCCAGCCCAGCTAACAGCCATGTGACCGTCCAGCTCTGCAGGGGTGTGTTGGGATGTATTTCTGGAAGACCGGGTGATTATTCTGCGAGCTATCTATATACCTCAATAAACCCTATGAGTTTAAACCACCTTGAGTGAATTCTGTTGCTTGTAGTTGAGAACTGACCACTTCCCATTTTAATTACATTTCTTTTAACATAGTCATGTTTCTGGTTTCTTCAGTTTTACAGCAACATATTCTCTGCTTTTCTAAGCTGAGACAATGTCCCTTGTATACAGTTAAATGCTATTTAAAAAATCAAACTACCATGGCATTGTTTTGGGATACATCTGTAATTTTATTACAAAACCATTCTTTTGGCATTAGTTGGTTACAGTGAGAGCACGATGCTGTGAGTGTGGCGGAGCAGCTCTGACCTAACAACTGCATCCCCTGCTTTCTGAACCAGAAGGTAAGTTCCTCATATCCTTTACATACCTGCAAACATTAACGCCGCAAATCCTGACACACAGACCATTTAGGGAGAAGTTGATGCTAAGGGGTTAGAGTAAATGTTGATAAGACTACAAAAGTTCCTTTACGGACTTTGTTTCCTCTCCCTCCCCCAAATTCTCTGCTTAAAAAAAAATCAAGTTACTTGGAACTAGTCTGAATAGCAGCAGCACCCAAGGAGCATCACACTTAGTTCATGTTAAAAAGCAGTACCTGTGCATTGTATGTTTTACACCACAGGCAAAGGGAATGATCGCTCTAGTTTTTAACTCCTTCATTAGAGTCTCTTAAAAAAATAAAAGCATCCCATCAAGTTCGTCGAGATGGTATTATTGCTGTACGTTTGTAGGTGGGTCACTTTCTGTGCTGTGTTTGCTTTGAAGGGATCTTCCAATGTATCTCCAATATTCCTTTCTTATAGTGTCCTTTTCTTTAGCTAGGATTTCACATAACTAAAAACGAAAAACAAAAATTCATTAAAGGAAATGTGTAATTCAGTCCCTAGGGCAAACAGGGATTCTGGGCTAATACAGTTTAATGCAGGTCATGATCAAATGAAACAGACCATCAGAGTCATAGACCAGGTGCGCTAGTGATGTGGGTGTAGCCCTGAGCAGCAGAAGAGCCCAGCATGGAGTTCTGAGTAACCGCATTTTGAAAAGGGCATGCCTACTGGAGCACTGAGATTCCAGAAGAAAAGTGCCACGTCCTGCCAGCTTACCTCTAATGCTTTATTAAGAATGTCCTCCTTGTTGTCACATTGGTTTTCTAGCATGTCTTCATAGATATCCACGAGAAAGGCAATTAGGTAGGGAGAGCTGTGACTTGGCTGTAAGTCAAGTAATTGATTTAACAGATTGGGATATTTGGAAAGACCACGATCCTGCAAAATCCTAAAAAATAAATAAAACTATTCTCAATTTTGAGAAGGAAGAACAACAATAGTAGAAAGAGTAAGAGAAAATGAGCCCTGTAATATAAGCAAGAAAAGTATTTTGAGTGAGGCTGAAGTGAAATGAAAAGTGTTTAATTTTCATTGGAGTCTAGTTGATTCACAATGTCGTATTTCTGCTATACAGCAAAGTGAAACAGTTATACATACACATATGTCCACTCATTTTCAGATTGTTTTCTCATACAGGTCATTAAAAGGATTAGCAGGGCTCTAAAATGAAATTTTTAAATTAAATCTGAGTTTTATGATGGATAATTAAGAGCACAGTAAAATTAGCTAAAAAGAATAATGAAGTTTAAAGATAATCATTTGTAACTCAAACTCTAACACAGAAAATTTAAAAAAAAAAAAATCTTAAAATTGAAAAGTGAGGGAAAAAAGACAGGAGAGATGTTTCTGCTTCTTGAGATGGTTCACCATCCCTTGAGCTCCCCAGACACTGCAGAGCCTGGCCTCTGACACGTCCAAATGCAACTGAGCTCCATCCTCTGTGCTCTATGGGCTTATTCCCTTGGAGACCTTTAGCTTCAACAAAGGGTCTGGTGAGTCAGTGGCCAGGCAAGAGAGAGCATGCTGATTTAAGGAGTGAGATGTGTTGCAGGAGATCTCCAGCAATGACCTCAGAAAGAGTGGGTATACATCTGTGCAATCTGCTTATAAATGATGTATCTCATGCTCCTGTGATCCTGAGCTGAACAGAAACTGGTGTGTGTGTTCTGTTCTGTGACATAAAGACTACAGGATTCATCAATACAGGTAAAACTGTACCACTGTTTACTCGTGGACTGCTCTAAGAACTGTGCTGCTATGTGCTTGGGAGGTAAAGAGAAGGGGAGAGGGCACTGTCCTTGGGTGCTGTCACAACACTCTTACACTCACGTTCTTAGATCCCGAGAACTGCAGAGTTCTTTAGTATCCTTCTGGAATCTGATGATGGAACACATTCCATGATCCGTCATATTAGGAGGTTAAAAAATAAAAGCAAAAACAACCTCTTACCCTTTCAAATAATTCCACGCACTTTCATTATGTGGGACTAGCTTGATCATTTCCAGAGTGTACCTGTAAGGAAAAGGTCACAAATAAACATGTATCACTTTAAAACAGCAGTGACAATAATGAGAAACAGTTTCTGTACCGCTGCGTCACAAGGCTGCTGTATGCTTCCACCTACCTCTCCCCGTGGACCTGGGACCTCCCTAGGTTATTGGATCTAAATTAGACACACTGGGCCCCAAACCCTGCACTAGAGTAAGTAACGGAGCATCAGGGACTGTTATCTAAAGTTTAATGAGACAGTTTAAAAAAAATTCTCAGACACTATGAAATATGATTTCTTCTCAATCTACAGTACCAACAATATTTCAAGAAACTTAAGACACTAAAAGTAAAGGTTTCCTATACAGAGTATTAATTGTGTATTTATCATTATGAGTTTCATCTAACAATCCTGCCCTATTCGTTCCATGAGGGTAGGATTGGGGCAGTCTTTCTATGCTGTATCCTGATGCGTGAGACATGCAGGTACACAAATATTCTTTTAAGAAGTGAACAAGTGAAAATTACTAACTGGACTTCTCTCTCCAATATAGCACGATCATTGTAGCCCGTAGTGTTAGAAATTACAAAATATCTTTGGTTCCAGACAGAGTTATTTCTCACATCCTCTTTGAGAAGTTGGTCTACATACTGCAGCTCATTATCCCAAAGTTTAAATTCCTAAAAGAACATTAAAAAAAAACCATTCAATTAGTAATGTCCTATTATTTATAAACAATGAAAAGAAATAAATAAGGACTTCCCTGTTGGTGAAGTGGATAGGAATCCACCTGTCAATGCAGGGGACACGGGTTCGATCCCTGGTCCGGGAAGATTCCACATGCCGCGGAGCAACTTACTAGCCTGTGCTCTAAAGGCTGCAAGCCGCCACGGCTGAGCCTGTGTGCCGCAGCCCCTGAATCCCTGAGCCTGGAGCCTGTGCTCCGCAACAAGAAGCCTGCACATGAGGAAGACTAGCCCTGCTCACTGCAACCAGAGAAACCCCATATGCAGCAACAAAGACCCAGTGCAGCCATAAGTAAATAATTTAAACATTTTTTTAAAACGGAAATAAAACTTTAACAAAGTTAAGCAGGGAGAACTGAAGACACGAACTCATTACATATTTGGAGGGGAGTGACGCTGCAGGTCAAGGAGATGGAGGGTAAGGAAAAGTCATCAAAGGCAGGGGCATGGGGGACTTCTCTGCTGGTCCAGGGGTTAAGACTGTGCTTCCACTGCAGGGGGCACAGGTTTGATCCCTGGTCTGGGAACTAAGTTCCTGCACGCTTTGTGGCACAGCCACAAAGAAAGATGGGAAGGGTCATGAAGAATGAAAAATTAGGGAGTCAGAGTTAGCAGCTAAAGTGGCTGTTAATTCAGCACCATCTTGTGGAAAACAATCTAGATACCAAGAAGGATGTTTTAACTACTTGACCCAACTTTTTAGAACTATTCTAAAAATTAAATCCAAAGGGAAAAAAAAGTATACCTAACTAAGCGCTTGTGTACTGCTTTTTGGTTTGCTTTCTGTTTTGGCGGTGTGGCTCTTAGCTGTGGCACACAGGAACTTTAGCTGTAGCATGTGGGATCTACTTCCCCAACCAGGGACTGAATCCACACCCCCTGCATTGGGAGGGCGGAGTCTTAGCCACTGGACCACGAAGGAAGTCCTTATACATTCTTTAAGGTGAAAACATAGAAGAAAAAACCAAACTCAGTAATAAGACAATGATTACCTATACTACTGATATTAATTTTATGTGATTTGATATTATTACATATATTAAGTAAAAGGAAGTGTTCAAAAATGCACATATATGGTAAAATTATATTAAAATACATGTAAATATACACAATTGGATTTAGATATAATTTTTATGTTACAAAGCTGTTTTAATTTAAAAAATTATGGAGAGAAGAGAATCAATAAAGACAACTTGAAAACTTTTGGTGAAATACTCTTGGTATAATGAATAGTGCAGAAAGCAGCAATCACTGGAAAAAATTCACAAGCCACAACACTACAATTGTTTGATGGAACAAATAAAAATGCCCAGAGTGGGAGTCGTAACTATTTTCTTCTATTCAGGATTTAGCATAAAATTTTAACAAGTAGGCAGAAATAAAATACTCAATAGTTACTGTAAAATCAGATTACAAGGTTTATGTATGCAATACATTAATACATAAAATGTCCTTGTTAATGAAAATAACACAGCTGTACTAAAACTTTACTGCTGGGAAAGACTAAGGCAGGAGGAGAAGGGGACGACAGAGGATGAGACGGCCGGATGGCATCACTGACTCGATGGAGATGAGTTTGAGCAAGCTCTGGGAGCTAGTGATGGACAGGGAAGCCTGGCATGCTGCAGAGTCGGACATGACTGAGCAACTGAACTGAACTGATCAAAAACTTACAACTATTTTTTCTATTCAATTTGCTAGCAAATATAATATGTGATGTAAACTCAATCAAACAGTATTAAAAAGTCACTATTATTCTTTAACATGAAGTTACTCATCAACATATCCCAATAGATCATGAAAGTTAACCAACATGAAGGATGTCAGGTTTAATTAAGTATCTTAATAGTTCTTAATCACCTTAATCATTATTGTGTGTAATGATCTATATGTGTTTCAATTTAAGTATACATATAAGCTGATAGTAATTTATTTGTTAAAAAAATTAAAATGTGAATAACACTCTAATAAGAAAGGCAATACCTGAATAACCCACTGTCGGTGTTGCCAGGCATGGTAATTCTTTGCATCCTGAGTAAGAATATCCGCAATAAACTCAAGTTCCTGTGATGGGTCTCTCAGCCATTCCACCAGCACTCGCCTATGATGCCTAAATTCAACAGAAGGAATTTTATGTGAATTTACCCTAAAACGAAAGTATCAGCTGCATGTGTTGTACTAGAAGGGACATGCAAGAAACAGAAATTCACCTCTAATTCTCAAGACTCTACGGGGAAGAAAAGGTACCACAGGAGAAACTCTAAGAGAAAAAATTTCAGAACGCTAACAGCTGAGAAACATAAACAGTGATTTGCATGTAAAATGAATCCACGTACCAAGGGCTTAAAGGTTTAAATGCAGCTAAATCCGGAAGAACCGTAATCTCTCAACAACCACAATATCCTGTGAAAGAATTTTCAACATGCCCAGATGTCACAATTTGACTATAGGAGGTATGATCCTGTCTCATCAAGTATGGAAGCCCGTCTGTGAACCAACAAGCTGTCGGTTTTCCTTAAGTCCGAAGGGGCGCCATTCAAGCAACTGCTTATTTCACCAGCTCATAGGCAAAACAGAATTCACTTCTACTCTGGCAAGTAGCTGTAACAAGTTGGTCGGAAGAGGAATTTCTGTACTAGGAAAATACTTTAAGAGTTCTCTGTCGGGTTCTATTTGTATAATTTTCTTTAGCTGAAATATTTATAAAAATCTATTAGTGAAAATGTTCCAAAATTTACTGTGGTAATGGCTGGACATATATACCTCTTAAATGGGTAAATAGTATGATATGTGAATTATATCTCAATGAAGCTTTTTTTTTAAAAAAAACATTTTTTTTTTAAAAAACCATTTTTTTTAAAAAAAATTAATATTCACTACATTAAAATGAGCAGGGGTGATGGAGAAAACAAGTAAAGAAAGATTTAATGTTTAATGGGTGACCTACTCCACATGCATGGAAAATTTAAAACTTCATCTTAGAGAATATTAAGGTAAGATTCTACCAAAAGGAAGATCCCAGAGGGAAAGGTTTCTAAATAATTTATTAAGAAGACTTACAAGTCGGTGAACACTAGTAACAATTTATTTTTCCAGGTTACTGATAAATTCTGTAATTCAGGAAAAACTTAAGAATTAGTTCCTCCATCATGTCAAAATGATTTCTCAGGGCAAAATACTAAGAAGTTCCATGATTTAAAGATCATTAATTAAATACAGGGGTTAATCTTACAGTGTAAGTTTTCATGGTTAAGAATTTAATAAAAAGTGCAATTAACTGGCATACATGATTTGAATTACCTATACTATCCTAGTTATGACAGCAACTAGTGGAGTGGGGAATTTAAAACGCACTGCAGGACTTCCCTGGTATTAGAGTGGATAAGAGTCCGCTTGCCAATGCAGGGGACACAGGTTTGATCCCTAGCCTGGGAAGATCCCACATGCTGTGGAGCAACTAAGCCTGTGAGCCAAATACTGGGTCTGTGCTCTAGAATCCAGGAAGTGCAGCTACTGAGCCCACCTGCCCAAGAGTCTGTACTTGGCAACAAGAGAAGCCACCGCCGTGAGAAGCCTGCACGGGGCAATGAAGGGTAGCCCCTGCCTGCCACAGCTACAGAAAGCCCATGTGCAGCAGTGAAGATTCAGTGCCGTCAAAAATAAGTAATAAACTTTTAAACCTGAATTTAGAAAATTAAAAAATAAAGTATACTGCAACTAAAAACTACTGGGTTGCCGACAGCACTACTCTGGGTGGCACTGTATTTTGTTTTTCATAATGATAGATGGTAATGTGTTAATGAGAGTCTGCAGTATCCAGAGAAGGAAGCTACTTCTCTTCAGCAAAAACTACATGTAATCAAATGCTGAGAAAGCTTGTGATGTCTGGACACTTTTTTTTTTTAAGATAAAACAGTACATAGTTTATATATCTCTTCAGGTAATTTTCTGGATTTTTTTTTTTTTTTTGGCCATGCCGCATGCTTGTGCAACCTCAGTTCTCTGACTAGGGATTGAATCCAGGCCATGGCAGTGAAAAGCCCCAAATCCTAACCACTAGACCACCAGGGAACTCCCCTCTGGATTTTTACAGCTTTTATATAAAAGCACCTTATTCCGAAGGGTAAAATAACTTTTAAATGAGGGACTGAAAACTGTCTAGACACTTTTTTTACTAAAATAACTCTTATAATGCAATTTCTCAGGAATATAACCATCATCTCCTCAGAAAGAAAGAAGTGACAGAGGCAAAGTTGTTTAAAATTCTACAGATGGAAATCTGCAATAGCTATCACTTCCATGCCTTGCCAAATGCTGTTACTACGTTGTAACTGTTTGAGAAGATTAAGTATCTATTTATGGTTCATGCTCTTTCTTAAGACAGTATTTGACTATGCAGGTGATCATTACCCAACCGGGCCAGAGAGCAGGCCCCTCTGCACACGGGTCCACAGCTGGAAGCCTTCCTTCTCCAAAGGCTAACCTGTGCGCTAGGTCTCTTCCCAACTCCAAGAAAGCTCTGACTCTATTCCCTTTTTCTCCAGATTTCTCGCCTTTTCCCTTTCATTAACACTCTTCCCCACATCATGAAGTCTTTGCCACTTTGGGAAAATAAAACCCAAAAGACACAGCCCTGACAAGCTGCTTGCTCTGTCTTTTTTCTCAAGAACCAACTTCATCTCCCGTAAGTGATGCGTGCTCTTCTCTGCGGATCCTTTCCTCTTCCTGCCACCCCCGCCATCCTCTCCGACACCCCACTGCTGCCCAGTTGCCCACCCTACCCTGGTGGGAGGATGGCTCGCTGACAACCGCCTATGAATAAACCCACGGGTGGTCTCCACCTCCTGCTCTCCTGGACCTCTCAGCAGCAGCGGATTCTCTCATCTACTCCTTTCCTCCCGAAACTCTCCCTCCTCTTGTTTCTGTGAGGACACTAACTTCTGGTTTCCTCCCTCAGTCATCCTGGACCACCTCTCTGCCTCTCGAACGCCAATGCTCACCCATGTTCTGTCCCCAACCTCCTCTAATTCTCCCAGAGCATCCTCATCCAGAGCTGTGACTTCAACCAAAGGGGGACACATTTCAACCACTCGCTGGGCAGTTTCAGCCAGGTTTTCTATCAGCACATCAAAGCCTCCTTGTCCAATCCTGCATCTACCCTTCTTTTCCAGAAATGTGCTGCTTTTTTTCCTCAAAATTCCCCAAGTGGCTGGCACCACCATTCACCCAATGGTCAAGCCAAAATACAGACATCACTCTTCTCCACCACTCCCCTGAGAAGCTGAACTTCAAAACCTGTTGCTTCTGTCTCCAAAGCCTCTCTCACATGTATCCTTCTATCTCCCCAGCCCTACCACACTCTCTCCCCTAACTCCCACATGGCAACGGCCCGCCAGGACTCTGGGCCTACTCTGCTATCCTCCAGCTGCTGGCAGAGTAAACCTCCTGAGACACAAACCTAATCACATTACTTCCTAGATTAAGATTTGTCAGCTCTCCACTGCGGCTAAGGTCAACTCCAAACCCTTGCCAGTGTCCGTGAGGCTCTTTATGCTCCTACTGCAGGACTCCCCAAAGGCCCACCAGCCACATGGAACCACAAGGAGTTCCCTGAGCGCATCATGCCCTTTCATGTTTCTCCCCAGAGTCCTCTCTTGGCCTCAGAAGCCTCTCTTTGCAGAAATCATCCTTAAATTTCAGGCATAAAGACCGGGCAATGTGCGTGTCAGTCACTGTACTGGGAAAAAACCAAATGGTGGCAACCCTGAAGAAAGAGCAGGCAGTCAGCGGCACAGAGTGGAGACAGCTCTCGACGAACACCATGGGGCCGCCTCTCCTTCACCAGGACCCAGCAGCCCCGCCGCCCCTTCCCTCCCGCCTCCCCCTCCATCACTTCCACCACCAGTTGCTTCCATGCATGCGGGCCCACTAAATGCAGGGAACAGTCCAGACTCTGCCTTTCTTTCCTATTTGTTCTCTGTCCTCCTGCTCCAAACTTCTCTACTCCCCCACTGTGTCCTGCTCCTCCCTCCTTAATAAAACCCATACTCTTGTCTAAGTCAGGAGCTTAATTTTTAGAACACACACTGTAAGAGCTCTACTATTATACTTTTCACACTGCTCTGTAAAATAATTGGTTTCATTATCTGCTTTCCTTTATAGACTTTCATTCATCTTTGTATCTCCAGCATCAATAAAAAAAAAATTAATAAACAAATGAACAAAAGACCAGGGACTCCTTTTATAACATACTGAATAGAAAACTGAATAGATTTTCTGCTCAAATTTTTTTCCTGATTCTGGCAGTATTACAGTTAATGCTGAAGTCTTAAATCATGGCAGCAAACATTTGAGGGCCAACTGTGGGTTAAGTGCCACTTCACACATTAAACAAAAAATTATCTCAGTTCTCCTAACAACACTGTAAGACAGGTGACATTAGCACCGGTGCAAGGACTGTAAACAAATGAACAATTCCTTACGGTTTCGTCACCCACTGGCAGGTACTAACTGATTAGCACAGCAACTTATTTCCTTCTTGTGTTCATCTTACCAGACTTGATAGTTTTTGGGCTGCTCCTCAATTATTGCTGAGATGTAGTTCATTTCCTCATGTAGATCCTTCTGAAGGGACTTTAAGAGAACTCTCCGGAAATGCCTACAGCAAATAATAAGTATCCACAGTGTCATTACTCCACGTACATTGCCAGGCACAGCATCAAATGAAGCCAAAAAACAACAACACAGACACATTTCTGGTAGGTATTCTATATAACCAATAAGTTAGGAATTTAACTGCCTGTGGTTGTCCAAACTTGTACAACTGGTGACTGGAAGAATCAAGAATTTTGAAGTAAAAATAGTGAAACACAGCAGGTGTGAGAAAGAAGAAAAGACAACCAATCAGTGATAATTTTCAGGTAATACTCTGGTTACTAGCTTCTACTGCACAAGAATCAAAAACTTCTCTCTCCTCACATGGTATAACTTGCTCATTTAGACATATTATTCATATAATACACTAATTTCATTACAAATATTACCAAATATTTTACTTTTAAAACCATCATAATAATGCTACTTATAACTGAAAACAAGCTTCTCTTCAATTTCTTAATAGGTAAAGTCAAACCATTAAATAAAACCTTTTCTCTAAAGACATAATTAGTTCTGGTCTATTTTTACTTCAAAATCTCAAAATATTTCAACTCAGTATATAAGAAGAGACAGAAAAGCTATTTTAAGTTACCTTTTAAAATGAAATGCTAAATAGAAGAAATGATAGCATTTCTATTATAATTAAAGAAAATTAGGTTGCACAGAGCACATACATATTCGGTTTGGTTTATAGGGTAATTTTAGGCGTACTGTTTTTAAGAAAACAGCAAATAAGTTTAGGAATTTTAAATAAATTCTAATTTGCTATGAGCTGTATATAGTAAAGAAATTCTTACAAGCTTGGAAGTGCGTATTTGAGACACAAAGTGATGGAAGACAACACTAATAGTTCCAGACAAACTTGACCCTCTAATAAGATCCTACTAAAATGACAATAAAGAAAAAGCATAAATCCACAGGGATGAGGGGATACCACAGCAACTGCAAGAAATCAACAACTATGGAAAATGGCAAACTGACAGTTTTGAGTGACATAAAAACACCAAGTTCTTCAGAGGCAACTCTGGACAGGCTTCTGGTCACCAGAAAGACCAGCCTTGATTAGAAGCTCAGAACGTTCAGCCCCACCTCCCGTCCTCCAGACAGGGGAAGACTGGAAATGAGTTCATAAGCGATCAAGCCCACCTGAGGAAGCTGCCATCAAATCTCAGCAGGAGGGCTTCGGAGACCTCCCTAATGGATGAACACACCCAAGCCCCGGGAAAGTGGCGCACCCCCACTTCAGGAGGACAGAAGCTCCAGTACTCGGGACCTCCCTGCCCAGACCCCACCCTCTGTCCTTCTTCACCTGGCTGCGGGTCTCCATCTTTTACCAGATCCTTTAATCAGCTGGTGAACCTAAGTGTTTCTCTGACTTCTGTGAGCTGCTTTCGCAAATCAGTCGGCCCCAAGGAGTGGATGCTGGAGCCTCTGATTTACAGCCCAGCAGGCAGAGGCACAGGATTTGCAATCGGCCCTGGGTGGGGGCAGCTTATGGAACGGAGCCCTTAGCCTGCGGAGTCCAACACCACCCCCAGGCAGACAGCACTACAGTTAAGTTAAATTACAGGACACCTGTGGGCTGCCACAGAGACCCGCCTGGCAGGGGAAACTCCCACATGTCCTCAGTGACCAGAAGTGACGTGTGCTATGTGCAAGTAAAGAAAACGTGCCGGAGAAGGAGGACTGGGGTTTTCCTAAAAAACCTCGACAACAGACAAGTGGCTTTATTTTCTGGAAATATCAGAAGCAGAAAGAAATATCAGACACAACGCAAAGCAGGGTGACGTGAAGGCTGGAAACAAGGAAATTTAAAACGGCGACACAAACAACAGGCCAGAAACCCCACCCTGCCCAACCTGCCTACCAGAACTGACCCCCAGAACTGGGGCAGCCAAACGGGCACTCCTCTGACAGCTCTTCTTCAAAAACACAAACCAGCCAAGAGAAAAGACCCAGAAATACTGACATGCGAAGATTTCACACAGAACAGCCACACCTCCTGGAACTTCACAGTGAAGCCCTCTTGATGACCAGTCCTGCAACACGCAGGGATACCAAAGCAGGTTTTTCCTGTTTCCATTGTAGGTGTGAAAGGAGAGCCGAGAACCAGTCATTTGAGAAAAATGTGTACATGGAAGAAAGAGACCAAAACAAACACACAGAAAAATGAAAACATATCCCATCCGTGAAGTAAAAAAACCACTAAAAAAACTACTAAAGAATACCCAGAGAACAAAAAAAGAGCTCTTGTAAAATAAAAATGAGTACAGGGATGTCCCTGGTGGTTCAGCGACTAAGACTCTATGCTCCCAATGCAGGGGCATGGGTTCGGTCCCTGGTCAGAGAACCAGAGCCCACATTCTACAACTAAGACCCAGTGCAGCCAAATAAATAAATACACATTAGAAAAAAAAAAAAAGAGTGCAGACCAAAGAGACAGAAGATAAAGTTGGGGAAGTATCTCAAAAGCAGATAAAAAGAGAGTTGAAAATAAGAAAAGACAAGTCTCAGAACTACAACATGCAACTAAAAAACATTTCAGAAAGAACAGAGGAGAGAAGTAATTATCAAAAGAATATAAAAAAATTCCACACCCCAAAGTTAAAGAAAAGGTTAAAATGAAAGAACAGGAATCTTCTCAATAGAGGCTGAAGGAAAGAGGAGGATAGTTTAGAAAACCTGAAGGAAAATGATTTCCAATCTTGAATTCTATTAGTAAAGCTAAGAAGAGACCAAAGACACTCTAAAACATAAAAAAAAATCTCAGTAACAATTTCCCATACATCCTTTTCTAAGTTTCTGAGGATCTGGTCTATAAAATGAGAGAGTAAATCAGGAAAGGGATAAGTGTGGGATCTCAAAGACAGGGACGAGACACAGGGAAGAGCTGCAGGCCTGATGTGCAGGGCCCAAATCCGCTGAAGGGTCCCCACTGTGCTCAGCAGGAATGAGACACTCAACAGGGGTACAGAGTTTGGAAGACAAGTTATTCACTGGTAACGAGAAAACAAACTGTGATGGAGACAGCATAGGGGATGTAATTCTGTGTCTTCCACAGCAAGACTGATATTTAAAATGAAAAAATTAAAAACAACCAAGCATGTTATTTATAGAGGAGATTTTAAGGAAAAACACTGAGGAGCTGTTACCTCAGGGAGTGGAACCCTATAGTGAGAAAGAATGGGGCAGAGACTGCTATTTTTCATTCAATGTGACCTTTAAACTCATATGTAACTTACTATTTTGATAAAAATTAAAGTTAAGAAAAAAAGCCACCCAAATGAAAACCTCAGACATTCAGACAGGAAATAATGATGATGTGTCTTACCATACTGTGTAATTGGCTGCATTTAACTCAATAGCATCTCTGGTTAATTTAAAAGCCCGCTCACTTCTCTCGTCACGCTGCAGGACAGCCCGGAAATAATCATAGACGTCCTGAACTAGAAACGGAGCACACAACTGCATTAGGACGGTCTTTCTTGCTTAAAACGACCACTATAGTACAAAATGTTGTTTGTTTTCTATGTCTAGGAGGAAGATATCTTATTGCATGTATACAATTTACAACAATAAGCGAAAGAAAGAAGTCCAGCGATGGTGACCGCCAACCTGAGAATTTGTCACAGACACAATACATGTGACCGAGCTTACTGCACATTCAGGGTTGATGCCAGAATCCAGATACCCCAACGGTGTTGTGTATTAAGGAAAAACTAAGCATGCATACACTCAAATATTCACTTGGCTATTTTTTCCAAATTTTGACCACTTTCTTAAACTGAAAAAGGAATCCACACCATAACAGAAAACTCAAAAAGTACAGAAAGTTCCACACTAAGCTTCCACTCCACTCAATTCCCAGTCCTTCTCCCGAGAAGCAACTGCAGAGTGATTCTAGTATATCCTTCTAAATATATCCTATCATATACAGGTGATTCTTTTTTTTTTAAACAAATGAGATCACATCACACTCTTATGCTCTGGGCTGTCTTTTTTTCACTAATATAGTGAAATCAGTTTACTAATATCAGTTCAGTTGCTCAGTCGTGTCCAACTCTTGGCAACCCCATGGACTGCAGCACGCCAAGCTTCCCTGTCCATCACCAACTCCTGGAGCTAGCTCAAACTCATGTCCATCAAATTGGTGACGCCATCCAACCATCTCATCCTCTGATGTCCCCTTCTCCTCCCACCTTCAATCCTTCCCAGCATCAGGATCTTTTCCAAGGAGTCAGTTCTTCACATCAGGTGGCCAAAGGATTGGAGCTTCAGCTTTAGCATCAGTCCTTCCAATGAATATTCAGGACTGATTTCCTTTAGGATGGACTGGTTGGATCTCCTTGCAGTCCAAGGGACTCTCAAGAGTCTTCTCCAACACCACAGTTCAAAAGCATCAATTCTTCGGCACTCAGCTTTCTTTATAGTCCAACTCTCACATCCATACATGACTACTGGAAAAGCCAAAGCTTTAACTAGATGGGTCTTTGTTGGCAGAGTAATGTCTCTGCTTTTTAATATGCTGTTTAGGTTGGTTACAACTTTTCTTCCAAGAAGCAAGCGTCTTTTAATTTCACGGCTGCAGTCACCATCTGCAGTGATTTTGAAGCCCAAAAAAATAAAGTTTCTATTGCCACTGTTTCTCCACCTATTTCCCATGAAGTGATGGGACCAGATGCCATGATCTTAGTTTTCTGAATGTTGAGCTTTAAGCCAACTTTTTCTTTTTCTTTTTTTTTTACTATTATTTGCATTTATTTTCTGTGGCATTTATTCCCGGGCCATAAGTTTTTGTTTTTTCAGTTTCTTCTGGGTTATCTTTTTCTTCTGTGCAACCTCCTCTTCTGGTTTAGGAACAATCTGTTCTCTTTCAGTAAGGATCATCTCAATGTGGCAGGGAGAGCTCATGTAGGGGTTGATCCGACTGTGAGCTCTGTAAGTCCTGCGCCGCATCTTGGGGGCTTTGTTCACTTGGATGTGCTCAATGACCAGAGAATCTACATCTAAGCCCTTAAGTTCAGCATTACTCTCTGCATTTTTGAGCATATGTAGTAAAAATTCAGCCCTCTTTTTGGGCCACCGACCCTGCGTCCAGCCCCACTGTTTGGCCTGTGCACACCTACCAACTCCACCATTGTAACGACGGAATGGCACACATTGCTTCTTTAAAGTGACATCCTTCAGATACTTGGTGGCTTTTCGGATATGCATACCCTTTATGGCCTGGGCAGTCTCACGAGTGTTCTTAAAGTGAACACAAAGATTTGAACCTCTTGATTTGCATGATTTTGTGGGGTTTTCTGGGTCGAGTGAATAGCGCACCATTTTCAAGGGTCAGCTCAGGCCGCTTACCAGAAAAGGCGAGCTTTAAGCCAACTTTTTCACTCTCCTCTTTCACTTTCATCAAGAGGCTCTTTAGTTCTTCTTCACTTTCTGCCATAAGGGTGGTGTCATCTGCGTATCTGAGGTTATTGATATTTCTCCTGGCAATCCTGATTCTAGCTTGTGCTTCAACCAGCCCAGCATTTCACATGATGTACTCTGCATATAAGTTAAATAAGCAGGGTGACAATATACAGCCTTGACATACTCCTTTCCCGATTTGGAACGGGGATGTTCCATGTCCAGTTCTAACTGTTGCTTCTTGACTTGCATACAGATTTCTCAGGATGCAGGTCAGGTAGTCTGGTATTCTCAACTCTTTAGTAATTTTCCACAGTCTGTTGTGATTCACATAGTGAAAGGCTTTGGTGTAGTCAATAAAGCAGAAGTAGATGTTTTTCTGGAACTCTCATCCTTTTTCAATGATCCAACGGATGTTGGCAATTTGATCTCTGGTTTCCCTGCCTTTTCTAAATCCAGAATATCTGAAAGTTCACTAATACATTATTCAACGTCATATAAACTAGTACACGTCTATAGAAAACCACTTGGTAATTTCTATTAAAAATTAAAACTGACTATTCACTGACCTTAGTTCTTAATCCAGTTAAGTTTTCTTACAAATAAACTCCTGTATGTGCCCAAAGCATCCAAGGACATTTATGAGAGTATTTGATAACATAAGAAATAAAAAGCAAGAAAAATTGGAAACTGAAATTAGTAAGGAATGAGGTAAGTCCCTCATAGTACACCCATACAACAAAACCCTATGTAGTAGCTATTAGGAACAATGCTGCTCTGATATATACTGAAGTGGAACAATTTCTAAGATGCTGTTGAGTGAAAAAAGGAAGTTGCATAATAGCAGCTATTCATTTAAAATACATGCTTGTTAAAAAAAAATCTGCTTATTTATTTTTTTACGGCTGTGCTGGGTCGTCATGCAGTTATGCAGCATGGGTTTCTCATTGTTGCAGCTACTCCTACAGTGGAAGGTGGGTTCCAGAGCGTGCGGGCTTAACTGCTCCGTGGCATGCAGGATCCTCCCAGACCCACCTGCACTAGCAGATGGATTCTTACTTACTGGACCACCAGGGAAGCCCAATATATGCTTATTTATGAATAATACTAGTTGGAGGAACAAGAATGGGAAGATGACATAATTTTCCACTGCACTCCACTACAAAGTTTATTGCATTTTTCAAACAGCTGCACAGCATTGCACTGTATGGCCACTGTATCTAATTCATCCCTGTCAGTGTATGTTTAAGCGGCTTTCCTTCTTCACTGTCCTGTCATTGTATTCTTCTGTGCACACATGCGAATTCAGCACCTCCATGGCCTGTACACGTGGATGAAGATTACGTGCACGGTTGGTGCTGACAGACAGTGCCAGGTGAACCTCTCAAGAAAGGTCTGATCAATATACAGTGCCTCCAGGAAGGCATGGATACACCTGTACTTTCCACATCCTTACTGAGACAGCATCAGAATTTCTGATCTTTGCCAGCCTCTCAACTGACAGAACTTTAGACCTTGACAATTTTTATCTTGTTTTATTCTCATTTCCACAAGAGAAACTAAGGCTTAGAGAGATTCACAAGTTCACGTGGCCCAGAGTACTTTGGAGGTAGAGTGTTAAATATACAAATCTAGTCTGACACCCAAGACCATACCACTAGTCACAATGAACTAGGTATGAGACACTGCAGTTGAAATGCCCTCACATCACAGCACAATGTAGAGAACAGATTAAGGCCCCAGACAGACTGCTTAAAAAAACCCACATGCTAAATATTCCCATACTTCTTTTGCCACAGTTAAAAATCTATGTGGACATGTTACGCTATTTTTCTTATAGCATACAATTTTCCAATTACTGACAAGAGCTCACAAACTTTTAGCAGGCCAGTATGCATATCAGTATATCCTAATCTGCCTAACCATTCTGCTGCTACTGCTGATGTAGATTTTTTTCAATTCTGTTTCATAAAAATCACTACTTTAAGCAACTTTTCATTAAAAAATAAACAATACACATGAATATATTTATGTGTGTGCCTTCCCCAGCGGCTCAGTGGTAAACAATACACCTGCAATGCAGACGACGCAGGTTTAATTCCTGGGTCGGGAAGATCCCTTGGAGGAGGAAATAGCAACCCACTCCGGTATTCTTGCTGGAAATTCCAATGGACAGAGGAGCCTGGCAGGCTACAGTCCATGGGGTGGCAAGAGTCAGATGTGACTCAGCATGCACACACACATGCAAGCACACACAAGTATGTTGTGTCCTTAGACTACAACCCCCAAAGTGAAATTATCAGAGGAGAGCACGAATAATTATAGTTCTTTCCAAGCATACAAAGATCATCTACTTCTAAACACTATCTTTAGAATGCTGAGTTTAATTTACACCAAAGTAAAATTTAGAAATATAAATGGTACATAACTATGGAATATTATGTGGTCATTAAGAACCAAGCTCCAAAATACTTTAAAATGTGAAACAAAACGTTTGTAACACATTAATGATATATACAGAGTATACACACATAATTTTACATTCACACGTGCACACATACTAACTCTGTGGAGGGAGTTCCTGACCAGCCCAGTGGTGAGGCCTTCGTGCTTTCACTGGGGGTGGGCATGGTTTGATTCCTGCTTGGGAACTAAGATCCCACAATCCACGTGGTGCAGCCAACAATAAATAAATATTAATTAAAAAAAAAAAACAAAAACCTAACTCTGTGGAAATGTATTTGCTGGGGAGTGAGAGGCTATATACCAAATGTTATCAGCAGTTAAGAGTTCTGGATGACGAGACTCTTCTTTTGATGGTAACGTTTCAATTTTTTCTACAATAAGCATGTGTGTGCCTGCTAAGTCGCTTCAGTTGTGTCCAACTCTTTGCAACGCTATGGACTGTAGCCCACCAGGCTCCTCTGTCCATGGGAATTCTCCAGTAAAAAGTACTGGAGTGGGTTGCCATGCCCTCCTCCAGCGGATCTTCCCAACCCAGGGATCGAACCAGCGTCTCCTGCATCTCCTGCATTGGCAGGCGGGTTCTTTACCACTAGCCCCACCTCGGAAGCCCACAATGAGCACGTGATACTTTTTTTTTTTTTTTAATTTATTTTATTTTATTTTTTTTTACGTGATACTTTAAAAAGCACCTGAAGTTTCTGGTAGCTGGTGCTGCTGCCCACTGCACTGGATCTGTATCAGTGGGAATGGCTGCTACCAGTCCAGTTTACATGTCTCTCCAGACATTTTTCCGAGCAGATAAATGTAGCTCTGTTCTTGTTTATTTTTAATGAAGTTGGTATGACATTTTCATTCTGCTTTTTGGCATTTTCCCCCTCAGTGATGTGTCCTTTTATGCCTGTGTATATATATCTCTGTCATTCTTTGTTCATTTTTCCATACAGTGGACATGGCATAATTTACATGTCAATGCTATTTCGGGTTAATAAACAGAATTTTATATTCATTAGATTTTTCTGATATTAAATTTTTTATATTAAAAGTCTTTTAATTAAAAATTACAAATTTAATATACTATCATACTCGAAGTTTCTAAAACTTATGTGCCCCCTTTTCACTCAATATTGTTTCCACAATCTGTCCCTATTATAACAGATCTAAGATCCTCTTGGATCCTGATGGCTCAGTTGGTAAAGAATCTGTCTGCAATGCAGAAGACTCGGGTTTGATCCCTGAGTCAGGAAGATCCGATGGAGAAGGAAATGGTAACCCACTCCAGTATTCTTGCCTGGAGAATTCCATGCACAGAGGATCCTGGCGGACTACAGTCCATGGGGTCACAAACAGTCGGACAGGACCTCACACACACACACCCCCAAGATCCTTTTACTGATTATACAGCATACAATTGTATGACGATACATTTATCTATTCTTCAAAAGACAAATACATAGTTGGTTTCCAATATTTTGCTTTTTCAAAAATTACTGTGAATTTTAACAGTTATCAGAACTGTTTCATTATTTCACGTGCATAATTCACTCAATTATCTTCCTTGGTGGTTTATAAAGCAGTTATCTTCCCTGGTGGCTCAGATGGTAAACAATCAACCTGCAATGCAGGAGACCCAGGTTCAATCCCTGGGTTGGGAAGATTCCCTGGAGAAAGGAATGGCAACCACCCCATTATTCTTGCCTGGGAAATCCCATGGACAGAGGAGCCTGGCAGGCTCCATGGTGTTGCAAAGAGTCAGACATGACTGAGCAACTCTCACACTCACACACATACACACAGTAGTTACTTCTATTATCCTCGCTTTGCACAGGAGGAAACAGAGGTACCGAGAGGTAAAATAACTTGTGTGAGGTTACAGAGCCAGTAAAGTGGTACAGTTAAGAATTTGAACCAGGTGGTCTGGCTCTGAAGTCTGTGCTCTTAGCCTCCTAGGACACGTCTTTTTTTTTTAACTAATTTTTTAGGTTGCGATGAGTCTTAGTTACTGCACACAGGTTTCCTCTAGTCGTGGAGAGTGGGTACCCTCCGGTTGTGGTGTTTGGGCTTCTCTTGTTGCTTGAGCCTTAGACACACAGGCTCAGCAGCTGCAGCTCAGGCTGGGCCCTAGAGCTTGGGGTCAGCAGTTGTGGTACATGGGCTTAGTTGTTCTGAGGTATGTAAGATTTTCCTGGACCAGGAATCAAACCCGTGTCCCCTGCATTGACAGGCGGATTCTTATCCACTGTACCACCAAGGGAAGTCCAAGGACATGTCTTTGAAGTCATAAGCCAGAGTGAACCCAGAATGAATCATGAGAAGCAGCACTTAAAGGTTGTAAGATGTGAGAATTTCCCACTTTCACTAAATATATACATGACAGTGCTTTCTAAAATGGCTAAACATACAAAAATTTCCACATGAAAACTATAGATCTGTTCATACTTCTCAATTATTTGACATCACAAAACAGCTTACTTCTCATTTCTAATTGATAATGGATTTTTTCCCCCTTATTTAATGGCCAATGAAATTGCATCTTCTATCAAGTGCCACTTCATACCATTTGTCTATTTTTTTATTAGTCTGCCAGTTTCTTTAACATTCTTTAGAAATTCCTTTTAAGGTTCTGAGTATCAATCTTCTCTTTATACATCTTCTCTCACGCTGCTGATTGCCTTTTAACTTACTCATGGTGTCTTCTGTTGCACAAAGGAAAAATTCTGATACATTCATAGATCAGTTTTGACTGATGGGTCATTTTTCTCTTTTCCTTTGTGCTTTCTAATAATGATATATTTAAGAATTAAAAACATTGGTTTTTTTTAACCCTGCAAAAAAGATTTTATTATTTTTAACTGAGAGAGAAATGTATGGCTGTGTAAATTTCCATAAGGTGCCTTACAAATCTGAAAAAGTTGCAGTTTTCATTTCTCTGATCACTGGTGAGGTTACTAGCTCTTCACAGACATTTTTATTTCTTCCAGTGAATTATCTCTTCAAGTATAATCTCTCTCATAATTTGGAAGCTTTTCAGTTTCATACCTTCTGACCTTCTCAATCAATTCTGAGTTTTACATCTTGCCTAGTAATTCCTTCTTTATCCTAAGAATGAAAGATTACACTATTTGCTCCTAGTATGTTTACAGTTCTGTTTTAGAACTTAAATCCACATGTAATCTATTTTATGTAAGATATGATATAGGGATACAACTTTGTTTACAGCCAAATGCACAGGTAACTGTAACAAAATCATTACTTGATTAATCCATCTTTCATACAGATACGAAATGTCCTTTTTATCAAGTATTAAGTTCTTACCTACACTGATAATTTTTAATTATTTGTTAATCTATTTATTTCTGTACCATGTTAAGAATTAAGCTTAGCAGTACACTTTCATATTCGATAAGGCAAACTCTCATACCATTGTTCTTTCTTTACAAAGATTTCTTGACTTACCCTATAATCAGAAAAAACATTCCTTGTAAAATGTAAAAACATTTAAATGTAAAAACATTCCTTGTAAAAAAAAATATTCCCTTGTAAAAGAGGAATAATTTCGGATAACAGAGCCTTAACTGAAAGAAACACACATATATATATACACATAAAACTACAAAACAAGCATTCTCTTTTGTTTATCTTTTCCTTGAAGAATAACAACATCTGCATGGTCTTCAGTTTACAAAGCATTCCACATTCATTATGAAAGAACACTTTGTCAAAGAAAATAATCCACTCACTTTAATATCAGAAATGCATTCGAACTGAGTCAAACATTTCATAGTCAAAATATAGTTCAAAATGCTCATGTTTCAATACCCAAAGTTTATTCTAAATAAAACAGAAAATCATTTATCCACATGTAATTGATTTTATGTAAGATATGATATAGGGATACAAAATCAATTTTACGTATAGATTAAATAGTAAATGAAAAGCACAATCACATAGTAGCTACTATGTATTATAAAGTAACATTTAGGACTTATATTTAGAGTATGTCCATTGTTTAGACAAAATGAAATTTGTCATCATGAAAGTAAATTACAAAACCCCCACAAGATTAGTTTAAGTCATTTAGACCTTTATCAGACAAAAATCTGTCATCTATCTATAGCTGTGAATTTCAATTTTGCTACTAATTTGACTTACAGGCCTTTTCCCAATAAAAAATAAACTTACATTTCTCACTATAAATGATCTGGACCACTGGATTGGGGCCATCATTCTGTGGCACTGGATCTATATCAGCCCATTCTGCTCTGTCCCTGAAAATATAGATATTTTTCAGTGATTATATTCAAGCATGTAAAGAAAAAATGAAATTTGATGTTCTTTAAAATGTCAATGATTACACTTTAACATCATGGTGAGATTCTTCATGAACAAGTCTATCATTTTGATTTACAATATTAAACTTTGAAATAAAAATAAAGTGAATAATTTTCCAATTAAAGTAATTTAAATCAATAGTTTTCTAAAGTTTTGCCTAAATGCAAAAGTAGGTTTCTGTAGCAAGTACACAATAGTTTTAAATTAGAAATCAATCCAATTCATTGGTCTAATAAGACTCTTTGGAGTCAGTCAACATTTTTTAAAAACTTGAATAACACTTTATGTGAATAATCTAAATAACTAGAAACTTATATTTAAAAGTAAAAGTAATCACTATCATTTGCTTGTACACCAAGAGGCGGTCCAGATGGTCAGTAGACGTTGGAATCTGTGGAACACTGGCTCTACCACTGAACTAGCTATTGTGACCTTGAGAAAGTTACTTAAACTCTCAGAGCAGCAATTTTGTCATTTATAAAATGGAGATGATACTATTACCAACCAATTTTAGAAGGCTATCTGGAGGTCTGAGATAACGTTAAGCACTGAAAACGTGCACAATAGTAAGCATACAGTACATAGTAAATATGCTCTATATACACTATACAATTAGCATGTATTACACAGTAGACACACTAAATGTACTATATAATATTACTGTATGCTTAAGTATATATGCTGTATGTTATAAACACAGCATCTAATAAATGCATATAGCAAATATTCAGTGACTACTACTTCTCATTATCAAAGCTAAGATAGATTATAGTGGCAACAATGGGTGCCTATAGACATTGCTGTGTAAACTGCTCAGGGTGACCAAACTTTCTTTAACCACTCTTTTACCTATAGTCTTATCCTATTGCCCATTTTTCAGTTCTGTGTACTAATCAGCTATGGGCAGCAAAAATTCTGTGGTATGTAGACAAGTCCTAAAATTGTGTCCATTTTATAAGGTGAAACGCAGGGGAAAGCATGCGTTTCCTGAGGTGTGCGGTATGAGAAAGCTAGGGCTTCCCTGGTAGCTCAGCTGGTAAAGAATCCGCCTGCAGTGCAGGAGACCGGTTTCGATCCCTGGGTCGGGAAGACCCCCTGGAGAAGGAAGAGGCTGCCCACTCCAGTATTCTTGGGCTTCCCTGGTGGCTCAGCTGGTAAAGAATCCGCCCGCAATGCGGGAGACCTGGGTTCGACCCCTGGGTTGGGAAGAGCCCCTGCAGAAGGGAAAGGCTACCCACTCCAGCCAGTATTCTGGCTACTGGCCTGGAGAATCCCATGGACTGTATAGTCCGTGGGGTAGCAAAGAGCCGGACACGACTGAGCGACTTTCACTTTCACTTCACGAGAAAGCGCAGGGGAGTCTGACACAGGTCAGGGGTTTAGGTCAGGGAGGAAACCCGACTATCGACTATCGCACGTCTCGGTGAGGAACTCTAGAGGGCTGTGGGGGCCACCTCCACCAACGGGGAGCTCGAACACATTAACTTCGAGGACGCAACCTGGAGAGGTGCCTTTCAAACTCGGTTCGTAACATCTAGGCAAATCAGCCATCGGATGGGTTTTTACCTAGAATTACGGGAGGAAAAATAAGACAGGCGAGAAGAGCATCTGTCTGTCATTCGACTCTGCAGGTTCAAGTGGAGCTTGGGGTTGGGGGGGAGGGTGAAATGGGCATGACCAATAGAAAGCGGCTGACGGGGATGGGGACGGACCGAGTGCCTGGCAAAAGTCTGGGAGGAAAAGGAGAGAAAGTTGCGGCAGCGCCCTACACAGCGCGCCGCTGACACCGCGGCCCGGGCGGCCAGGGGACAAGCAACGGGGTTTCTCACCCCCTGCTCCCCTTCTCATCCTCAGAGTGCAACTCGGCGCTAAAACCGCTGAAAGACGGCGCTCTCCCGGGGTCCCTAAGATCTTCAGGCGAGCTCTCTGCGTGTCGGCAGGACAAAACCCACAGGGAAGACCCGTCCCCAAAGCGAGCCAGCCTGGGACCCTGCCAGCAGCCCCGCCGCACACGAGCCCTCAGGCTCCGGACCACGGCAGGCCAGCGCCGCGGACAACCTCCGCCCGCCCGGCGCAGGGCCGGCGCGGGCCCCACCCCCGCCGCCGGACTCCCGAGGCCGCGCCACGGCGCCGGCCGCGGCCGCCCCGCCAGCCAGCCCGGCGCGGGCGACTGGGGTCTCCGGCGCCAGACGGCCTGCCGTGGGCGTTACCTGTACAGGACATAGGTGGGCGAGTCCAGGCTCAGGAACCCGTCGTCCATAGGGGACGCCGCCGCCGCCTCTTCCTGCGGCGGCTGGGGAGGCGGCGGAGGAGGATGCGGCTGGGGCGGCGGCGGCGGCTCCGGCTGACCGGGCTCCCCGCCTTGCGAGGCCTCCCCGACCCCGTCGGCGGCCGCCATCACTGCTCTGCCCCGAGCTGAGGAGGTGGCGGAGGCCCCGCCCCCGGGCCCGCCCCAACCCCGCCCCCTCACGGCAGCCACTTCCGGTGTCCCGCGCCTACCATAGAGACGCGGGCCAGAGGGCCCCGGGCCCCGGCCCGGCGGTCTTCGGTTTGTGGGGCTGCACGCTGGCGGGCTGGGTCTCGCTTGCTGGGACGTCGGTTTCCCCCTCGCCCGGTCGGTCCGCGGGTCTGACTGAATACCTGTGGCTGGTGTCCCGAACGTGCTCGTGCTGTTCGGTGGTTGTTGGTGCCGCCGGGGGAGCCTCGGAAGCCTGGATGAGCGCTCCGCGTTAGCCTTCCAACGACATTTACATTCCTCGTACACCGTTTTTTATTTTTTTCCTTTTGGAAGCCAAGAGTTTAGAATGCAGAATTCCAGTAGACCAGGGCTTTTGTCTTTTGAAATTAAAGTTCTGATTATACAGGGAAAATGTGTGTACGTTATAGGAAAGGTAAACGTTCATTTTACACACACTGACGGACAAGTGTAGGCAGGGCTTGCTCATGAACGAAATAAAGTCTCTGCTCCAAAATATGCCTTTAAGAGTCCAGGCCGAGCAACTCCACAGATGGCGCTTTGGTGTTTGGGTTGTTTTGAGCTGCAGGCACATGAAAAACGGCAAATGCGGGAGAAGCTTTCTCTGAATTCCTTCACCTGCCTAAACACAGACCCTCCAAAGAAGAGCTCGGTGAAACTAAGCCCTCTCCCTGGGAGTTTCAAGAGTAGGAGTGGATGCCACACCCAGACAAGTTTTGTTCAACTCTCATATCTCCAGCCTATTCTAAGGGCCCATTCGTCGTCTTTCATCGTTCCTAAAAACGTTTTACTCTCCCCATAAGAGGTCTTCATCTCCCCGAAGCCTGAATTCGTTTTTGTTTGTTTGTTTTTGGCCATTACGCCCAGCTCCCGCAGCCAGGGACTGAGCCAGGCCTCTCACTAGTGAAAGTCCAATCCTAACTCTAGACCTCCAAGGAATTCCCTAAGGCTGAATTCTAAACCACCTCAGGGAGTTGTTAGTTTTCCTTTGGATATCTCTAATCATTTTTGTATTTTCTCTAGGTGTACACGAGGTATGCTGCTAAGTCACTTCAGTCATGTCCGACTCTGTGTGATCCCATGGACGGCAACCCACCAGGCTCCCCCGTCCCTGGGATTCTCCAGGCAAGAAAATCACCGTGCATTTTTGAATCTCAGGGCAAGTTTTGAAATCAACCTTTTCTATTCGAGTATGAGAACCTAATAATTGAAAAATGTCTTGCTATTATTTACAACCCAATTGCAAACTGCAATTTGCAACTTAATTTTTAAATTACAAACCCAATGTGAGCTGAGAACTTTAGAAGATATACGATCTCTTAGGAGCAGATAGGGGTTGGAAAACATAACCTAATTAATCAACCCCTAAACAATCTAGAATTGAGTTTTATTGGGGTTCGTGTGAATGATAGTGTATTCCAATGTACACCAAAGAGACACCTAGGAATTTTTTAAAAGTCAGGCATGCTGACAGCTAACATGATTATTTTCATTAGCGAATTCCAAGTGGTCTGTTTTCAATCTCTAAATTTCTTTGGAAATTCTGAGAGCCATTCTTCCTCAGAACCTCCAAAACTAATTTGTAAAGTACTGGATTATAAAATTCATGTAGTGGTGATACTTTATCAAACTGTGCTTGTTCTTTTGTAGTCATCAGGCATTAGAATGTGCTTACATATCTTAATTTTAAATTGGTTATTAAAATGTTAAGATTATATATTTCAAATGGTCATTAAATGGGCTGTTTAAACACACACACACACAAAAGAACACTGGAGTGGGTTGCCATTTCCTTCTCCAATGTGTGAAAGTGAAGTCGCTTAGTCCTGTCTGATTCTTAGCGGCCCCATGGACCGCAGCCTACCAGGCTCCTCCATCCATGGGATTTTCCAGGCAAGAGTACTGGAGTGGGGTGCCATTGCCTTCTCCGATACATGAGGTATACATGCTAATATATACCATGTTTTTCTCTTGTTAATCGGCCTTTTGTTACTGGAGTCTCAACCAAGAACTCAGAAGGGTGGAGGAAAAATTACTCTTCACCCTCAACAGTAGGTGGTCTGGAGGCTTTTCAGGGGCTGTCTGAGCAGAGACCTGTGAGAAGGAAAAGCTTAGCAATCAGAGAACAGGAGTGCGTGCTTGGTCCGGGTTCAGAAAGGGTGCCGGCAGGGCTGAAGGCCTGTGAGTGAGGGGAAGGAACTGGTAGGTGATAAAGTCTTGCCATAGACCCTGATGCTGGGGAAGATTGAAGGCAGGAGGAGAAGGGGACGACAGAGAACGAGATGGTTGGATGGCATCACTGACTCAATGGACGAGTTTGAGCAAGTACTGGGAAATAGTGAAGGACAGGGAAGCCTGGCGTGCTGCAGTCCGCGGGGCCACAGAGTCAGACACGACTGAGTGACTGCACAACAACAAAGACTGAAGTAGCAGCCAGGGACTGTGGTAAGAATTTGGATTTTTATTGTGTTAAAATAGTTATAGCATAAAACTTACCTTTGCCATCATTTTGAAGTGTGTAGTTTGGTGATGTTAAGTGCGTGCACATGGTCGTGTAACCATCACTACCATCAGCCTCCAAAACTTGATCATCATCCTCCCAAACTGAAATTGTCTCCATCAAGTACTCCCCATCCCCCACGCCCAGCCCTTATAACTACTATTGTACATTCTTTCTCTGTGACTGTGACTATTCTGCACCCTCACAGAAGTAGAATCATGTAGTATTTGTCCTTTGGTACGTGGCCTGTTTCAATTTGTGTAACAGCCTCCAGGTTTATCCATGTTGTAATGTGTCAGAATTTCCTTCTTTTTTTGAGGCTGAATAATATTCCATTGTGTGGCTAGGCCACATTTTTTAAATCCATTCATTTATTAATGAACATTTGGGTTGTTTCCACCTTTCTGCTGTTGTGAACAATGAAATATCTGTTAAGAGTCCCTGTTTTCACTTTTGAGTGTTTACCCTAAGTGGGATTGCTTGACATATGGTAATTCTTAGTTTTTTGAGGAACTGTTTTCCACAGCATGTGTGCAAGGGTTCCGTTTCTTTCCATACTCACCCATGCTTGTTGTTTCCTGGTTTTGTTCTGATAACCATCTGAATGAGTGTGAACTGGTATTGTCATTTGTGGTTTTGATTTGTATTTCCCTAATGTTTAGTGATGGTGAGCATCTTTTCACGTGCTTATTGACCATTTGTGGGATTGGATTTTAAGTGGAAATTAGTGGAAGGTTTTGAGTAAGGGAGGGACATGTGATTTACATTTTTAAAGGATTACTTTGGCTACTGTGTGTGAAATACATGCAGTAGAAAGGCAAGAATGGAAACAGATGAGTGGAAAGCTATTGTAGCAGTCCAGGCAAAGGTCAGAGTGTTTAAATTATGGTTCACAATTCACTGATGGATAATAAAATCATTTGAGTGGATCCTATGAGGACAAGGTGACCCGCAGTCTCCTCCAAGTAAGGACTTGCTGCCCAGCTTTGGGGAGTGCAGTCAGCGGTCAGCCTCCTGCATCGTGGCCTGAGGACAGCCCACTAAGAGAGGCAGAGCCAGGGAGGCCTGGCCATTGCACCTGACGGGGAACATTGACAGACACCCCCACACCCGTGAGGCTGAGGCCGCCCAGTGCCTGCTTTGCAGTTTGACCCTCAGGTATTTGTCCCTAATCTTACATCCCAAGTTCCTTCTTGGTATCTGATCCCATGACCAGCATTTTTTGGTCTGTGTGACCAGTATTTTAAAAAATGAAACATAATGGAATAGGAAATAGTGCATAGTACACTTAGAAAAAGAAAGTAATTTTGGGGTGAAGTTTTGTTAATTTCTATATGTTGAGGTTTAATAGACCATGTTGTGAAATGCACTTCTTACCCTGGGTCATGATTAACAGTTTTGGAAAGCAATGGACTGTATCAGTTGAGGTGGAGGTGATGAGGAGTGGATGGATTCTGTGTGTTCTTTAAAGGTTAATCTGATAGGATTTGCTGACGGCTTAGCTGGATGGAGGATGCAAGACCCAAAAATAGTTAAGAATGATACTAAGGTCAGTGTTCCTTTTGATCAGAGTAGATAAAACCCTTTGACCATCCAGTCCTGTTTTAGTTCAGTAGTCCACTATGTTCTTTCCCTATGGTTCTACATCCACACATATGTATTTCTAGTGATTTTTTTAAAAGTCATTTTTATATAGCAGACTTTAGTATTGAGTGAAAATATATGGTTTTTTTTGATCACAATATATCCTCTCTGTCTTTCTTGATCCAGTGATATGTACCTCTCCAAACCCCAATAACGTAATGACTCCTCCAAACTCTAATAAATTACAGAACATACTGTTTCAAGTTGTTAGTTATAGGAAGGGAAAATCAATGACTGTTGCCACTCTTTCAGTTTAGGTACACTACACTATTAGCTCTGCCAACAAATCAGTCCAAATAGGAATACAATCTGAGTAAAATGACTGGCTGAGCCTCCTTCAAGACAGCTGGATACCTGTCAGCACGTGGACCTTCTCAACCTGTCCTTGTCTTCTAGATCCTTGTGATATGCTTGGAATTGTGCATTAACATCCCTGCCTTCATACCAGTCCCTGAGGTTATATGAGAAGCAGCCTGAAGATGCTTGATGAAAATATGGTCAGAGAGATGGAAGTCAGAAAAGGGAAGATGTAAGACGGGGTAGAAGAAAGTCATCACCAAAGAGGACGAGGGACAGATGGGATCTGGATGAATATCCATTAGGACACAGGCTTGCAGGACACACAGATGTCTCATCTGAGATGAGAAGAACCCTGGGGAGAAGCAGGGCAGTTGTTGGTCCCCCACTTTACAAATGAGAACCTGGGCCAGACCTGATGCACTTGTTACAGGACATGGAAAAGGCCATCAGTAAGGAGCCAACACATATGAAACCCAGGCCTGCCAACCCTGTTTCAAAGGATGCCTTCCTCTGCCCAGTATTTCTTTTTTTTTTTTTTTTGATTCTTTAAGAAAAAAAAATTATTTGGCTGCATCAGGTTTTAGTTGTAGCACCCACGAGCTTCCATTTCCGTGGCGGCATGCAGATCTTTCATCGTGGCAGGCAGTCTTAGTTGCCCTGTGGCATGTGGGATCTTAGTTCCCTGACTAGGGATTGAACCTGTGCCCCCAGCAGTGGAAGCACGGTCTTAATCACTGGACCACCAGGGAAGTCCCACCTGGACAGTTTTACTCAAACTCCAGTGACTAAGCCCCAGCCTCGGGGATCCTAATTTCACTGGTCAAGGGTGAGGGCATGGCATCCGTGTATTTTCAAAGCTCCCCTCATGATTCTGAGATGCAGCCCAGGTTGAAAACAACTGCCCTGCTGAGTCTGTGGTGTAGCCCGCTGCTTTGTTGTCAGGTTTCCTGGGGACGTTAAGATGCCACAACACTAGGCAGGGTTGGTTAGCAACCAGTATGGTATTCTTGGTTGGAGAATTCCATGGACAGAAGAACCTGGCGGGCTGCAGTCCATGCGGTCACAAAGAGTTGGACATGACTGAATGACTTATACACAGACACATACACACATGGTTGTGCTAAATGTAGAAATCAGCCAATCAATAAACAACTTTAAAATAGATTTGTTGTTGTTGTTTAGTCACTAAGACGTGTCTGACTCTTTGCAACCTCATGGACTGCAGCACGCCAAGCTTCCCTGTCCTTCATGATCTCTTGGAGTATGCTCAAACTCATGTCCATTGAGTCAGTGATGCTATCCAACCATCTTATCCTCTGTTGCCCCTTTCTCCTCCTGCCCTCAACCTTTCCCAGCATCAGGGTCTTTTCCAATGAGTCAGCTCTTCCCATCAGGTGGCCAGAGTATTGGAGCTTCAGCATCAGTTCTTCCAATAAATATTCAGAGTTGATTTCCTTTAGGATTGACTGGTTTGATTTCCCTGTGGTCCAAGGGACTCTCAAGAGTCTTCTCCAACACCACAATTGGAAAGCATCAATTCTTCAGTGCTCAGCCTTCTTTATGGTCCAACTTAAAACGGATTACCATTTATTATATAAATAAACTAAATCATACGTGTGTGTAAATAAAACTACTTAAGAAGTGGTATAAGTTGAAGTGCAAATTGTTCATCAGTTCTTCTCTTTATTATTAATCTTTTGGTTGCACTGGGTCTTTGTTGCTGCGCTTGGGCTTTCTCTAGTTGTGGCGAGCAGGGCCTACTGTTTGTTGCGGAGCACAGGCTCTAGGCAGAAAGACTTCTGCAGTTGCGGCTCTTGGGCTCTAGAGCCGGGGGCTCAGCGGGTGTGGCCCATGGGCTTAGCTGCTGTGCAGCATGAGAAATTTTCCCCAACCAGGGATCGAACCTGTGGTGTCCTCTGCACTTGCAGGCAGATTCTTATCCACTGTACCACTAAGGAAGTCCTGTCAATTTTTATGAAGGTATATTTTACCTCTCACAAAATTTACCTTTTTCATGTGTCCAATTCATCATCAGTTTATTTTTGACTTTTAGGGATTATTGATATGAGCTTTTCATTGGTATGGCCAAATGACACTGTCACTTATTTTTGGTTCTGCCAGGTCTTAGTTGCAGCATGTGGGATCTTTAGTTGTGTCATGGGAAGTCTTGGTTGCAGCATGTGGGATCTGGTTCCCTGACCAGGGATCAAACCTGGGCCCCCTGCATTGGAACTTGGAGTCTTAGCCCTCGGACCATCAGGGAAGTCCTGATGCTCTCAGTTTGATTGTACTCTTCTAGAGGTTTCCTCATGAGTTGGATAGTCATTAGGTGCCTGGGAACTGTGTTAAATGCTTGAGCTTTCAACTTCCCCGGTGCCGTGACCAAGTGGAGCCCAGTCACTACATGAGATAGTGACCCAGGCAGGGGAGGATGTCCCCAAGGTGCTGAAAGAGGACACCCGCTAAGGTAGAAGTTTATGGCCAGTAAAAGTATCCTTCAATAAAGAAAGCAAAGTAATGAGTTTTCAGATAAACAAAAATTGAGTTGTTTGCCACTAGTAGACACTCAAAAGTATCACAAAGACGTGGACATGGCTGAGTGACTGACATTTTCACTTTTTTGTGGGATGTGGTACATTGGTATTCACCATATGACAACTCGTAAAATTGTACTTTGTACTATACTAAGTATATTTTCATCTTATGTATTTTTATGTTTTTGTATTATATTTTAGAATAAAAAATATTGTAAGGAAACAAAATTGGAGTAAAATGGTGAAAAGCCCCAAAGGGAAACAAATTACATTTGACAGTGGAAAAACCCAAGGGTTAGGGGTGCCAACACCCATGCAATAGAAAATCTACAATATAATTTTACAGTTGACTCTTGGCATTGGTTCTTTCTGCATCTGTGGATTCAACCAACCATAGACCCCATAGTACTGCAGTCTCTGTTTATTAAAAAAAACAAATCCATGTATAAGGACCCATGCAGTTCAAACCCCTGTCATTCAAGCATCAACTGTAATTCAATTTATACACATACAAGTATGATGAAGATGGTGCTGGGAAAAAGTATCAAAGGCGAGGAATGTAGAATCCTGTTTTTCTGGAGTTTCATGTAAGTCAAACCAACTCTAGCTAAAGGTTTTATGCTAGGTTGATTTGAAAGTGATGACTTTTGTAGAAAATTGTGTAAAAACTGTACTGCATTAAAACAATTTTCTGTTATGAAAGAAAGCTGTAACTTGTCTTTCTGTGAAGGCCGCATGAAATTATGTGAGGGAAGAAGCACAGCTTTAGTTTAATTAAGGCAGCTTGCTTCTGTCTGAACACTCAGACAACTGTTAACATACATTGGCCAAATATAATGTACAACTTGGCTTCTGCCATGGAACAGATAGTTTTTAATGACTGAATGATATTCCTTTTAGATATTATACTTTATATAATACTTAGTAACTTATCCATGGTTGAGTATTTAACATTATTTACCATTTTCTCCTGTTTTTGCATTCAATGAATATCTTCATTTCAATACACATTATCTAGTAAATGTTCATTTTGTGACTGGTGGACCAGTTTCTGTTCTCAACTGCAAGGGAAAAAACCCAACAAAATTCCTGCTCTTATTGTATTTTCATCCTAAAGAGAGAGATAAAAAATGATAAACGTAATATTTATTGAATAGTGGTAAATGCCAAGGAAAAAAACTCAGGCGAGGGGGTGCAGAGTGTAGGGGTGGGTTCTTATGGATGTTGCTAGGGAAGCGCTCAGGTCGTAGGTGACGTGTGAATAAAGAACTGCAGGAGGTAAAAATGGTAGGTCAGTGTGATTGTGTGTGCAGAGGACCACTCCTGGCAGAAGCCCAGACTCTGAAGAAAGACAAGCTGATGGGTGGACGGGCCTGGGAGGCCAGTGTGGCTGGAGTGGAGTGAGTGGGAGGTTGGGTAGTAGGCGAGGAGTCAGAGGGTTAAGCAGAGCAGAACACACAGGGGTGGAAGAATTTTGGCGTTCACTCCGGAGTGAGCTGAGAGGTCACTGAAGGATTCTGAGGAGTGGAGGGCCATGATACAACTTGCACCTTTGCAATAAGTCTTTCAGCTCTTCAAAAACAGGGAGAGTGGGGTGAGGTAAAAGCAGGGAAGACCAGAGAGGAGGCTGCTGCCTTGACCAGGATAGAGAGTGATGTAGACTAGGGTGGAAATGGTAGAATCGGTCAAAATCTGGCTAAAATTTGAAGGGAGAATTGTTGAGAGTTGTTAATCTACTGGATATGGGAGCAGGGTGTGCAAAAGGGCAGGGCAGGGATGACGCCAAGGCCTGAGCAATGACAAGGATGGAGCTAACATATGCAGGTGTGGGAATTCTGCTGCAACAGCAGAAATTCTGTTTCTTCATGTGTGCATGTGCGGTGGCTGGGGTGGTGATGGTTAGGAGCTGTTTCGGATGTGTTAGGATTCAGAAACCTCTTACACATCCAAGTCTGTAGACTGAGTAGGCATAGGCATTCTGGAGTTCTGGTCTACGCTGAAGATTCGAATTTGGGAGTCTTTAGTGAAAAGATGTTACAGAACTGGCATGAGACTGAATGAGATCCCCAATGGAGAGAGTAAAGAGGAGGGGGCAAAGGACCAATACTGGGGCATTTCAGCACTGGAGGTTGAGGAGAGGCAGCTCCAGTGAAAGAACCAAGAGAGAACCCTGGAGAGGGGGTAGCAGTGAAATAAGTAAGAAAACATGGTGTCCTGATGGTCAAAGTGTTTGATGGAGGGGAGGGAGACTCACTGCCAACAAGACTGACGTCTGTGTTTGCCGTCTAAGTTTCATAGTGAATGCTTAAATATAGGTGTATCATCGAATTTGATTTCATATTTATATATGGTGTGAGCCAGGGGTCCATCTTTATTAAAGGGCTTCCCTGGTGGCACAGACGGTAAAGAATCCGCCTTCAATGGGGGAGACCTGGGTTCGATTCCTGGGTTGGGAAGATCCCCTGGAGGAGGCCATGGCAACCCACTCCAGTGTTCTTGCCTGGAGGGTCCCATGGACAGAGGAGCCTGGCAGGCTACAGTCCATGGGGTCACACGGAGTCGGACACGACTGGACGACTCAGCACAGCACAGGGGTCCACTTTTACTCTTCTGCATGTGCATCCACTTTCCTAGCGCACTTTGTTGAAAATAATTCTCTTGCCCCATTGGAGGGTCTTGATACCTTTGTCAAAAAGCAATTAACCATAAATAGAATGGCTGTTTCTGGACTCTCACTTCTATTCCCTGATGTCTATGTATAACTTTTCTAAGTATCAGATTGGTTTGATTACTATTGATTTGTAGTAAATTTTAAAATTAGCATGTATGAGTACTTTGTATTTCTTTTTCATAATTGAACATTTCAAATACACAAATACAGAGGAAAAATAATACAGGGAACCACCATTTTTACCTGTCAGGCAAATACTGAAAGCATCCTTTCATGGAAACCCATTTCATCAGTATCCTTCATTTGATTTCACAGTCTAGTGGATCATTTTGAAGCAAATCCAAGCATCCTATAATTTTATTATAACATGAAAAATACAACTCTAGTGCAATTATCCTGCCTACACTTTTAACAATGAGAATTTCAGCTACAGCAAACACAGAGTATCAGGGACTGGATTTACCCTTCAACATGAAACAACTAAAAAACTAGGTCAAAAAAGTGAGGCAAACAGTCTTCAAATCACTGGACCTCAGGAAAACAACAATGATTCCTGGGTGATGGGAGACACACAGGTGAATCCAGTGATTGTCTAGGAAACACTTCCAGGTTAGGAAATACTTCCAGGTCATGATGTGGTGAGGGGAAACCAGGCAGGACACAGAGGTCGTCCTGAGACGAGTGGCTCAATTTTACAGAATAGAGTATCTGGACAGAAATACTACAAAGAGAGCTCTGAAGCCTTGCAGAGGACCTGTGTTGAGGCTAAGTTGAATAGTGATCAGTGTATGCATGAGAGGAAAGTAACTAAGGCTGGACAAAGCGTCACACAAAAGATACAGTTCAGTCACTCAGTCGTGTCCGACTCTTTGCAATCCCATGAATCACAGCACACCAGGCCTCCCTGTCCATCACCAACTCCCAGAGTTTACCCAAACTCATGTCCATCAAGTCAGTGACGCCATCCAGCCATCTCATCCTCCGTTGTCCCTTTCTCCTCCTGCCCCCATTCCCTCCCAGGCCTCAAAGTCTTTTCCAATGAGTCAACTCTTCGCATGAGGTGGCCAAAGTATTGGAGTTTCAGCCTCAGCATCAGTCCTTCCAATGAACACCCAGGACTGATCTCCTTTAGGATGGACTGGTTGGATCTCCTTGCAGTCCAAGGGACTCTCAAGAGTCTTCTCCAACACCACAGTTCAAAAGCATCGATTCTTGGGCACTCAGCTTTCTTCACAGTCCAACTCTCACATCCATACATGACCACTGGAAAAACCATAGCCTTGACTAGACAGATCTTTGTTGGCAAAGTAATGTCTCTGCTTTTTAATATGCTATCTAGGTTGGTCATAACTTTCCTTCCAAGGAGCGAGCGTCTTTTAATGACATGGACATTAATATAGGTATAATTGTGTTCTATATTGGTCAAGAAGCAACAGGAGAGATTAAACATATTAAGTAGAGACACAGAAAAAATATATATAGCATATAAAATAATAAAAACATTAGAGCTTCTAGAAATGAAAAGTATACTGTGTGGCATTAGTAGCAAATTAGACATTACAGAAGAAAAGTGAATTTGAAGACATAGCAGTAGAAACTACCCAAAATGAAACACAGAGAGAGATTAACAGTACCAGTGAACTGTAAGGACTTCAGCTCACTAATACATGTGTAACTGGGGCTCCCAATGGGGAAGAGCAGGGAGACAGACAAGTGTTTAAATAAATAAGGGTTGCAATTTTTATAAGCTGGAGGAAAAGTATATACTTAGGGATCCATGAGGGTCAATGAAAGCCAAACTCAAGAAATGTGAAAAAAAAGAAAAAGACATAATGGCCAAGCAAAGTCAAATTGCTTAAAAGTAATGATGCCTTTAAAATCAGCCAGAGCAATAAGACATACCACGTGCAGAAGAACAAACAGGCTGAGCAGACGGCTCACCAGAAGCGGCCACCTCCAGATGGTTCCTAGTGACCCCACCTCCTGTCACTCACTCCCTGAGCTTGACTTCAGGACTAGCTTTTTAGAAGTAGGATAGAGGCAGTGATGATACCTCGTTTTATTGCACTTTGCTCTATTGCACTTTGTAGATACTGTGTTTTTCAAAAGTTGCAGGTGTGTGGCAATCCTGTATTGAGCAAGTCTATTGGCACCGTATTTCCAACAGTATTTGCTCAGTCTGTGTCTCTGTGTCACAATTTGGTAATTCTCACAATATTTCAAACTTTTTCACTCTTATTATATTTGTTATGATGATCTGTGATCAGCGATCTTTGGTGATACATATATATATATATATCAGGTTTTGAAACACTGTCAAAGTACCACGAAGTATGCCCACATAAGACAGGGATCTTAATTGATAAATGTGTGTGTTCTGGTTCCATCAACTGGCTGTTTCCCCACCTCTTGGGCCTCCTGGTTCCCCAAGACACAACAATTTTGAAATTAGGCCAGCTAGCACCGTACATTGATCTCTGTTTAAGTAAAAGGAAGTGTTTTAAGTCAAAGGAAGAGTCATACATCTACTTTAAATCAAAAGCTAGAAATGATTAAGCTTTGTGAGGAAGGTATGTTGAAAGCCAAGACAGGCTAAAAGCTAAGCCTCTTGTACCAGTTAGCTAAGCTGTGAATGAAGAGGAAAGCTTCTTGGAGGAGATCACAAGTGTTCCTCCAGTGAACACATGAATGAAAAGAGAGTGAAACAGCCTTCCTGTTGACATGGAGAAGGTTTAGCGGTCTGGATAGAAGATCAAAGCAGGCAGAACATCCCCCTAAACCAAAGCCTAATCCACAGTAAGGCCTTAATTCTCTTCAATTCTGTGAAGGCTGAGAGAGGTGAGCAGGCTGCAGAGGAAAAGTTTGAAGTAGCAGGGTTTAATCCTGAGGTTTAAGGAAAGAAGCTATTTGTATAGCATAAAAATGAGAAAGTGCTGATACAGAAGGTGTAGCAAGTTACCAGAAGATCTAGCTAAGGTAATTCGTGAAGGTGGCTCTGCTGAACAACAGATACTCCGTGCAGACAAAACAGCCTTCGACTGGAAGCAGATGCCATCTAGGACTTCCGTAGCTAGAGAGAAGTCAGCGCCTGGCTTTAGAACTTCAAAGGACAGGCAGGGGCTTCCCAGGTGGTCCAGGGGTTAAGAATCCATCTTGCAATGAGGCTAAGGTAGTAATGAGAAGGAAACTTTTGGCATTAAGGGCCTGTATTAGAAAATAAGAAAGGTTTCAAGCTAATTACCTCAGTTTTTACCTTGAGAAATTAGAGAAAGAAGAGCAAATTAAGACTAAGTTTAAGGATGGAAATAATAAATATCAGAATAGGTATCAATGAACTAGAAATCAAAACCAAAAAAATAAAGAAAATTAAGCAAACCAAGAGATAGTTCAAATGTATCTCTATGTGTCAGCATGGAACTGGAAATTAAAATGGAAAGATAATACTATTTACAAAAGCATCAAAAATATGACATATATACTTAGGATAAATCTGAAAAAAGATATGAAAAAATGTACACTGAAAACTATAAGACATTGATGAGAGAAATTAAAGAAGACCTAAATAAATGGATGAAAAACTTTTTTTTAAATTAATTTATTGTGGATGAAAAACTTAATATTAAGGTGTCAACTCTCCCAAACTGATCTATAGATTTAACACTATCCCAATCAAAATCCCAGCAGGCTTTCTTCTGTAGAAATTGATGAGCTGATTTTAAAACTCATACGGGAGGATTTTCCTGGTGGTCCAGTGGTTAACACGCTGTGCTTCCACTGCAGGGGCAGGTTTCTGATCCCTGCTTGGGAACTAAGACCCCACATGCTGTATAGCGGGGCCAGATAATAATAAACAAAATGGAAAACATAAAGAGTATGAGGAAAAACTAACACCAAAAAATAAAAAAAATTCATATGGTAAGTAATGCAAAGGACCTAAACAGTTAAAGCAACTTTGAAATAGGAAAAAGATGGAGGGTTTACACTGTGTGGTTTCAACACTTCTTATAAAGCTGCAATAATCAAGATGGGGTATTACTGGTGTCAAGACAGATCAATGTAACAGCTGACATCCAGAAATAAGACACATATAGACAACAGATGTTCAACAAAAGTGTAAAATGCATTTCAGTGGAGAAAAGATAATTTCAACAAATGGTGCTGAATCATTCTATATGCCTATCCAAATAAACCAAAAACTCGTACAATTCATACCTCGCACTTGCACCATATAAAAAAATTAAGTCAAAATTGGTAATATGTATAAATATAGTATCTAAATCACTTGTAACCTAGCTGTTCCACTCTAGGTGTTTAACCAAGAGAAATGAATCACACAACCAAACAGAGCTTCATTAGGAATAGCTGCAAATTGGAAACATTCAAATAAAATGAACAGGCGAATGAATAATTATAGCATATCTGCACAATGGACTACCACTCAGCAATAAAAAGAACTATGGATATACACAATATGGATAAACCTCTAGTTATGCTGAGTAAAAGAAGCCAGATAAAAATGAGTACACACTGCAGGATCCCACTTACACAGAATCGTATACTATGTAGAACAGGCCACAGTGTCAGAAAGCAGAGGTGTCATCCAGGGATATGGATGGATGGAGGGGAGTTGGAGGGCTGGGAGAGATCACCAGGGGGTCTGAGAGAACCTTCTGGGGTGACGGAAGTGGTCATTATTTTGACCGTTGATGGGTTCATCATGTTATACATTTCAAAAATTATTAAACTGCACACTTAAAAATACAGTTTAAAAATGAACAACAATTCATTAATAAAGACAGGTTGGAGATATGAGAAAAGGCAGCATGCTTGTATGTTAACAGGAAGGATTCAGTAGAGTGGGAAAACTGACAATGCCCGCCTGGGACGTGGGGGAGATGTCTGAACACGTGTCCTTTAGGAGGAGCCATTGTGCAGACGGAGGACTTCGGCAAGGAACACGGACAGTATGCAGAAGCATTCATATTTTGGGCAAATTTCTTAAAATATCATCCCAGAAGGTAACTGCCGAAGTAGGGAGTGGAAACATTTTAGAGCTCATGTTACATACAATCTGCCTGCAATGCAGGAGACCGGGATTCAGTCCCTGCGTCGGGAAGATCCCCTGGAGAGGGAAGTGGCAACCCACTCCAGCATTCTTGCCTGGAGAATCCCATGGATGGAGGAGCCTGGCGGGCTACAGTCCATGGGGTTGCAAAGAGTCAGGCATGACTGTGCAACTAACACTTTATGACTTTTCATATACAACTAGATACCTGTCCAAAGAAGTCTGAGTGTTTTTTGTGGCTTCAAGCTTTGCAAGTGTTGTTCACAGTTTTAGTTACATACCTGGTGGTTCTGCACCTCTGGGGGTGCACTTGGCGTGGGGATTAGAAAACAGGAAAATATTGACTTCAGGAGTATGACCTTCGTAGTAACAGTCTTCCTGATCTTTGACTCCAGAACAACGCAGCTAGAGTAACTGCGAAGTGGAGGGTCAGCCCCTTGGACCTGGTAGAGTCTGTGACAATCCTGACAAATAAAGGAGAACTGATGCTTGCGGTTTCGGAGGCTGGGTCCTGACAAGCTTTGGAGCTCTCTCTCGGGTTTCTCAGGCCTCCTGCTTGGGGGAAGCAGCTGCGTCAAGCAAGCCCCTCTCCTCCGAGACTCCACCGAGTGAGTGGTCCCCCTGGCCACGTCAGGAGTTTGCGTGAGGAGAGGTCTGATCCTTCCCGGGTGCCCTGTGCACCCCAGTCTGGGTGCCACACAGGGGAGATCAGTCTGCAGACAACCCTAGCCGTGGCCGTCACCAGATCTGTGAGTGAGTGAAGGGCTCCGATGGAGAGTGGCTGGGCCTGTCCCAGCCCCAGGGAGGGCACGGCATCGCCAAAGCCCCGTGCTCTGTGCCACAGGGATGACCGGATGGCACGAACCATCCTCACGGCCAGCCGGGGTCTTCCGGCTGGACCACGCCAGGTGGGAACTTTCCTGTGTTGGCCCCCATTTGATCACACGGCTGTTTGAAGGCAAAAATATATATATATTTTGCTTCCAGTTTTGCGATTCAACCTACCTTCTCACTTCCTTCCCCTTTGCTTCAATATTCAGTCCTCAGCGCAGACACTCTAAATAAAGGCTAAATTTAATATGGTTGCTCCACGCTGGTGAAGGAAGAACACTTACATTTTGCTTTCTGACACTAAAATGTCACTTTTAAATGCACATTAAAATGGGCACTATCTGGCCAGGTACATAACAGGGTTGGTTGGTTTGTATTTAATCCTGGTACTAACTTCACTTTGGTATTATTCTCAATATGATCAACGTCTCCACAGTTGCTTCCACTCTGTGCTCTGCTGTGCTCGGTCGCTCAGTCGTGTCCGCCTCTTTGCGCCCCACGGACTGTAGCCCCCCAGGCTCCTCTGTCCATGGGGATTCTCCAGGCAAGAATGCTGGAGTGGGTTGCCATGACCTCCTCCAGGGTATCTTCCCAACCCAGGGATGCAACCCAGGTCTCCCACATTGCAGGTGGATTCTTTACTGTCTGAACCACCAGGGAAGCCCCAGAATACTGGAGTGGGTAGCCTATCCCTTCTCCAGGGGATCTTCCCGACCCAGGAATCGAACCAGGGTCTCCCGCATTGCAGGTGGATTCTTTACTCTCTGAGCCACCAGGGAAGCCCTGCTACAACCTACTTAAACACTGAACAAGCCATAGTTCAATCATGGGGAGGGTGGGCGTGGCGGACACCCTCACCGGAATTTTAAAGGTCTACAGGCAGGAAAAGGGGCATCTGTGGCCTAAATCTTGGTGTTGCTGTTGTTTAGTCACTAAGTTGTGTCCAACTCTGCCACTCCGTGGACGGTAGTCAACGCCAGGCTCCTCTGCCCTGGGGCTCCCCAGCCAAGAATCCTAGGGTGGGTTGTCATGCCCTCCTCCAGGGGATCTTCCTGGGCCAGGGGTCAAACCCACATCTCCTGCCTGGCAGGTGATTTCTTCACCACACAGCCACCTGGGAAGCCCCATGGCCTAAACAGGATGCTTCAAGAAGAATGTATCGTGAAAGAAGGTAAGTACCTACCATGGTTCCTGCTGGACTGTCTGCGAAGAGGGGAGAAGCTAGGTTTACCTTTCATCCCTCAGAACTTTGGACAATCAACTTACACACGCTAGGTCCCAGCCTAAATCAAAAGAAAACCCATCCTACGTACTGGGAAAAAGCTCAAAGAACATTCCTGATTTACAGCAAGTCAGTGGCATAATATCTAAGTTGACAGGACACTATGGCAAGTGGATGAATACTATTAAGACAATTATTAAATGTGTCTGTGTCAGGGTTTAAGAGAAGAAAAAATAATCTAAACTGAATTTTTATACAAGTCTTTATTTACAACTTGTTTAACAACTGTACACTTTTTGCAGCCTTGAAAACATTTTTGTACTTGAATGGGAAAATATAGTTTGACCAAATCTTAACTTTATTCTTCATATACATATACATATATTATATGCATACATATAAACATATACATATAATTAATACCATGACAAGTTGGCAGTCATAAAATTAAAATGAATAAGTGACATCAAAAGGAAATACAATATAAGTTTTCAAAAAATTAAAAATCTGTCTCCTGGTGATTTCTTGGACTTCGTGTTTTTGTGATTTTGGTGAAAATTTCTTAATGAGGCTCTCTAACTCATTTACCTCAGAGAAACAGTGAGAAAACTCACGAATCTAACAGAGTCAATGACTGGTAAACAGGTGTGACACTGCTTGGATGCATTTATGTATGAGGTTGCTAAAACTGCACTGATTCATTTGTGAGGTGAAAAATTTAGTCCTACATGGGTTTCCTTTTGGGATTATAATGACTCAGAGTGAAATTGTGAAATTAAAAATTCAATAGTCAACCAGAAATAAGAACATACCTAGCAATATCCTTTTTGCAAAGGCTAAACTGCAAGGTGGATAACTACAATGTCAAATATCAAACTAACAATTCATAGAACAATCAGTAATACTTAAGACATGAGTATAAGGCCATAGAGCTGGGACTGTAACCAATACAACTCCAACTCTAATGTACTAAAGTGTTTTCCAGCTCGTCTGAAAAGTTTAAAAAGTACTGTAGGAAAAGAAAAAAGCCTCTTTCTATCCCCAAATCCTTGACAGAATTTGTTAACTGAAATAAGGCAAATTATTAAACTGTTAGATATGTTTGAATTTTACCATTCATTACACAACCAAAAATTGGGTGTTATAAATGGTGGGGCAAATTTCAAAACACAAAATTGCAAAACAAGATTAAACCTGGAAATTATTCTTCTGAGCACAAAGCATTATGAATTACATATAATCTGTAAACAGCAAAGTTAGTGATAGCAATGGCATATTAGTGCATCTGAATTTTCAATAACTAAGACTATTAAAAAAAATTAAAAGGCCCCAAATCATTGATTGGCATTTGTGTACAGTCATTTCCTGTATTTATACTAGCATGTTCTTTCTTATTTCAAGCATCTTGAAAACTTCCCTTAACTAAGAATATGAGTCTCTGCAGAATATACACTTAAATTCGGCCACCAAAAAATAATAAACTCACATGATGCCATGTGCTCATCTGTACTTGAATAAGAATTTCTTTACAGTTGTTTGTAATTTGACACTACTGGATCAAGTCTGCAGTTGATTAAAAAGACTGAAAAGGCAGAGGAAAGTATCTGACTTTCTGACAGTACAGTTCTCACTAAATACCAAGCTGACTCCAAAGAGTTGCAATTAGTCTCTTCTATTCGTTAAAAAATTCAAAGATGCATTTGTATAGATCTGTTGAGTCATGCTAAGCGCTTTAGTAATAAGCCAAGGCAATTAATAAATCTTAAAAAAAAAAGTTTCATTAACTAAGTTGCTGGAATAAAATCTGCTTCATACATGAAACTTAACTTGATTCATAACCTAAGTAGTTAAGAGCAAGAGACTAGGAAGAAAATCAAAGAAACTATTTGGATCTTGATATGCCTTTAAGGTGAAAGATGATGAAATGTGATTTTGGGGGCAGAAATGAAAAAACTGTTGGCAAATCTCCTTAGATCTATATAGATGTAAAAGAAACAGAATAGAGACTTAAAAGAATAGTGGACTATGATGTCTATCAACTTTTACTTGTAAATAAATAAGCATTCATCAGTTTCTGCTGGATAAGTGTTAGAAACTATCATCAATTTTAAAAGACTACTTAAAAAAGGGAAGAACCTGAAGATACTAAGTTATGATTTATGAAGTTACTTAATTATACCACTTAAAAAGTAAAGTGCTAAGACTGTTTAAAAAAATATATTGAAAACTAGTTTCAAAGAATGGGGTTTTGATTTTTCAAGGTCTTTACAAAGGGCTGGTATTAATTTTTATTTAAAAAAAAAATACCTTTCTTTAATGATGCCAGAAAAATCTACAAGTGTATCATAAGTTAACTGAACGTCTTTATTTCGTCCTTATTCTCTCTTTGGGCACCAAATGTCAAAAGCGCCTTCTTCAATGATGGACACGTTCTGGATCTATGTTGTCTGGTACAGTAACAGCTTTCCATGGGTGGCCTCTGATGAAATGTGGCTGGGGGACTAGGGAACCGGAGTCTTAATTTTACTTGAATTTAAACCAGCATGTGTGGCTGTGAATTGGCTAGTGGATTGGACAATGCAGGTCTAGAATCTGCTCTTAACTAGATTAGCAAGAAGCCAAAGGATGCTCAAGACATGCAGAAGATGATTTATCCATTCAACGTTCTGTCCCCATGTGTGAGTGTGACTGTGTGTTTAATTTTTGTTTTTACTCTGGGAGGATAAGAAGTGGCTCTCCTCTCACAGGTTAGAGTCCAGCCTTCTCTATCTGTGCTGCTGTCTTCCAGGTGACCTGCCTACGCCAAGCACATCAGCAGAACAGAGGGTAACCCAGAAGCAAGCACTGCAGAGACTATTCACGCTCTAAAAGCACTTCTCTCATTTAAACATAAGACAAAACTCTTACGAGAATGTTAACGAGCATATCTCCCTGTTCTTTGGCAGTAATCACTGTGTTAATGTTTATGTAACAACAAATATTTCAGTACGTTTTGACCACGATTTGAATACAAATATATTCAAGTACAAATGAAGAGAGTCCTGACTCCACAAAACATCTCTCAACAGAAAAAAGCTGGAAACTTTGCCATATTTGAACTTAAGAAAATGGCCAAGTTCATAAGGTATATGTTATAGTAGAACTAAGACCACTTTTGTAGCATCCTGCCATGG